CTGACATAAATATGCTCTGATTTGCAGAGATGATACCAGAAGCACCTGGAGTAATAAATGACACAGTGGAAGTCAGAAATATTCCAGTGATACAAAACTGAAGCAGACAAAAAGCTGCACATAGATTGCAAACAGTAATTTCTTTAAGGATGGAGACCCTTCTACAAACAAATACAATGATGACTGTTTAGCAATGCCAGTGAAACAAAATCATCTACTAGACTATAAAAATATCGACATCAGTAGCAGGCAGAGGCGGAAACACATGCTTATGATGCACAGTGATCCATGAGAATCTGATGGATATCCATTTCAAAAGTTTCTACAGTAGTCAGCAAAACTACAAAGACAATTAAAAAAATAATATACAGCAGCAAACCACCATCAGCACTTAAACAGTTGCTTTGACTATGCAATGAAATTATGTCAAATTATACTAAAATGCTTTAGCAGAATTTAAGAAGAGTGTGCCACAGCAGGTGAAAGATAACATACTTGAAATTATTAATTCAGTCTGAGATGGGTTTGAAAATCCTTTACATTAAAAGAGAAGCCTAGCAACTGCTGCCATTTTTAAAATACTGTACATGCAAGTATATATTTTAACAGCTTTACAAACCAACACAAGACTATCTAGCAGTAACATTAGCTAGCTCTTAATGAGCTGAATTAATGATTAATTTTGTAATGCTGCCATGCATGTTTGCTGCAGTTGAAGAGATTAGGAGTATTATGCACACAGATTTTAGGCTGCCAGAGCAGGTCACTCGAAAATATTCCAGTCACCTGGAAAGGACCAAAAGTGTTGCACAATAATGTTGACTTTTACAATAATTCCCTTCTGGTGAGAGAGGAGTGCTTTCCAGTCAAACAGAAATCCCTATACACAAATTAGATCATTTGGCTTCCCTCACTGCCAATAATGAGTCATTCCATTCCACGCTCAGAAACAAAAGCAGTTGCATTTGGCTACTGATAGTACCAATAAATATCTGAATTTGGATACAATGTCCAGTTTTAATGCTTATTCATTCAATTACTGTTTAAAATATATTAAACAGATCACAAAATGGTATCAGTTGGACTAGCTGCCTAAACTGATCTACTGAGCAGGTTGCCTCTAAGATTATTCGTCAATAGAAAGGAAAGAAAAGGAGCAATTTGCTAAACAAGAGCCTCTTTCTTGCAGGATCTGGTGTAAAAGGAACAGAACACACTTCCCTTAAAGAAAATTACATAAAAATTTCTCTGAAGAAGACTCAGAGTAGATGATTGGTTTGGTTTTTTTCCTTGAAGTAGTGTGCACAGTTTTCAGAGCATTAACATCCCTTTTTTAATTTCAAACTGTTCCATTATGTACTTGTTATGATATGTTAATTCAGGAGAGCATATTTGGACTCATAAACTCACTTTGTTACAGACTTCTGTTAAAAGAAGAGGTGTATATATATATTTTTGTCTTTGGGCACCCATGGATATGGCTACCAAGCCAGAACATCTTTTACAATCTAGAAATAAACGCAAGCTGTCTACCTTATGCGGACCTGGAGTGACATCTGGTGACGTGAAAAAGCAGCGCAAGTAATGAGCTACAGACAGATTGATCTGTCGGTGGAACTGCAGAAGCTGCCTGAGAAGATTTCTCCCTCTCCATTAAAAATGTTAAGAAATACTAATACAAATACTTTAACAAAAATCTTTGCAATTTTCTTTAAATTTAACCTCCTTACTCACAAATCAGACATCTTTGATGACATCTGTTTCAGTGAAGATCCAATTTTCTGCTGAGCAATCCTACCACTGGAAAATGTTTAGCTGGTCTCACTGCATGCGAAAACAAAACAAAACAAACAAAATAAAACAAAACAAAACAAAACAAACCAGTGATTTAATTATAATTGTTCTTAAATTGATAAAATTAATCCAGTGCAAATGGCTCAGTGAACGTGGTCCTTTTGGTTTAAGAATGCCCAATTTTACCTCACGCTGACATTTCTAATTGATTCAAGCTCAGCCCCAGTAAGCTTCTGTGCTGCAGTTTGGCACAGGCAGGTTATGTTGCCCCCTGCACCGTCATGACACCCTCCCTGACCAGGGGATACATAAACCAGAATAAAACTAATGCTTTTTTTGACATTTCACAAACCAGCTTATCGGCTACACTCCACGACCTCACGCACAAACAAAGCCAGAGGCAAAGTCACTGCAATTTAATCACCAGCAGTGGGTCAGGTGGCCGGGAAGGTCTCCAATGTGTTGGATTACTAAAACCCAACTACTCCTGGCCCATTTCACTGGGCTGAGGTCTCTGGGCTGTGCCAATGCCTGCTGCCCGTCCCCCTCCCCTCGCTGAGGTAACCGACATGGCCGCGGTCCCCGCCGCACGCGGTCCGTCCCCTCCCGCACACACGCCCTCGATTGGCTGCTGCTCTGCCCCACCTAGCCCTTGGGCGGGACATTTCGCACACCCTCGCCTCCGGTTGGCTCTCCGCCCGCCGGTGGGCGGGGCCACGGCCGGCGGCACTGCGGGCGTGGGGCCGGGAGGCGGCCGGCCTGAGGGCGCGGGCGGGTCGCTGGCAGTGCTCTGGGGGAATGTGACCTGCGGGAGCTCTCTGTGGAGGCAGCGGTCCAGAAGAGGTGCTGGCAAAGCTATGCCCCTTCTAGGCGAGGTAGAACAATTCCCTGAGCTCCCCTATGGAGCCCAGAGGAGCAGGCATCCACCCAAACCTCATTCAGGCCTAATGTAATTTCCTTAGCTGTTTTAAATGGAAAAACATATTCTTCTTTTTCTGTTCTAAATTACTCGCTAGAGGGGCTGTGTGTTGTTAAATAGTGTGGCAGAAATTCAAAAGCAGTGTGGATGTGGTGTATTAAGGGTGTGGTTTGTGCATACGGTGGTTAATAAACAGTGTAACTGCTTTCAAAAGGAAAAAAAAAACTTGCTGCAGCAATCATACACTTATTACTAACAAGTGTTTGATAACTCTAAAGAATAATTGTAGCAGCTGTGTGATTACTTAAAACATTGTAGCAGAGGTTTTATACTGAACTATATTCTGATAGTTTTTTACATACGTGCAGAGGGGCTTTTATTGAGGTTTTTGGTGAATTATGAGCTTTGACTGGTTCTTTTTTGTTACATCTCTGTGCTTTGTCCAAATACAATTTATTGAGACCTATACGAGGATAAGCGAGCACAATTACTTATGCTTCCTTATGAAGATGGTCAGAATAGCTTATACTGTATTACTTTATGGAACTTCAGAATCTAAAAAAGTTAATTTAAAAAGTAATAAAATCAAATCATTCTGGGAAATTTCAGCTTTCTTGTCTTGTAATCTCCATTGTGATTCCATTAAAAATATAGATTCTGTAACTCAATCTGTTATAAATTTAGATCTTATTCCCAAACTTCTTGGAAATCCTATGACTTAAAAATTACATGGGTGGCTACACAGCTGATATTACTCTACTTTTTCTAAGATGGTCCTAAGAAGTAATAATCATTGCAGAGAACTCAAAAGATGATACAAGTGATAACCAAACCACAACCTTGTGGAAATAATTACAGAGCTGGTAAATTATTAATCTGGGTTGGGTTTTAATATTTTTCTTTTTTTTTTTTTTTTCTCTCAGTACTTCTAAAAATATCAATGTCCTTGCTAGTGTATACAATTATTTTTGCTTCTCTAGAGATACTGTGTGTAGGGACATCTGCATTCTGCAGTGTCCCAAAGGTGGCATAGGGCATGCGTTAACAGTTTGTGGTCATCTGAACATTTCAGAATTGTGGGAAACACGTTAGTAGTTAGGATGCAGAAATAAGAATCTCGACAAAGTACCTTCAGGGTAAATTACTTTTAAGGCACGATTCCCTACTTTGTTTCTTCTGAAGTGCCCTGTAGAAATATTCTTTTATAGAAACAGAAATAAGCTTGTTATATAAATTTGATCAGAATATGTCTTGCAGTTTTGACTTAGTCCTGCATTTTTGTAGACAATGGATATTTGCAAGCAGAATTGGGTGATTTAAGATAGTAGAAATTCCATCTACTCTGAACTGGTTAGAATTTTTAAATGGAGTCCCACTCCAGTTTAAGACATTTTCATTTAGGTGTCTACGGGTAGTTGTCTACGTATGCATTTCATTTCTTGGCTCTCATTACAGTCAGTGGAAATCAAGGATAGGATTCAGCTGCATAGATATAGCTGTCTAGTGCCATTTTACTTGCCTCCAGGTATTAAGACACCACACATATCTAGGAGAATATACACAAAACTGCACCCTATTGGAACAGCTGCTGCAGGATATTTTAAGGCCTCTGAAATTGCAACAGATATTGTGAATCCCATCCTTAGTCAATATAGGCAAGGGAACCTACAGAGTAAGTCAATTTAGTGTAACGTAAGTACCTCCTGTCTGGTCATCTGAATGGCTTTTCAGGATCCTTTGGCTGTGTTGGTTAAATCTCTTGACTAGTGTGAGAGTTTAGGCAAGAGGCACATGTGGATACATATTGCTTTGTGTCTTAATCTCAAACTGAATCTCACCCTTAATGACATTCTTAATTACAAGCTCTTATTGTCATATTTACTTGGTACAACCACTCCAGATGTTGAAAACTAGAGGACTGATAAAGCGCACTATCTATCCTTATACAAATATATGTGTGTTTAAGTATACACATATATAGTAGCTTGTAGACAAATTTACACATTTCCAGTTTTTCCTTTTCATTGAAATTAGCAGAATTGAAAAAAAAATTTTTTTTAATTGAAGGTGCATTCTGAGGTGTGATATGAAGCACTCATAATATTTTGCAGATGTGCTTTGGGAGCAGAAGAAAGCTGTTTAACCACTATATACTGAATGTGGCCAAAATTGCTAACACTTTTTACTGCAAAGGAATTTTTAAAAGGCACAACTGATGTTAGGCAGCTATCTCTAATTTACTGTAATGGCAGTAAGACATTCTACTTCACAGTATGTGTTTTACAGCATGGGCATAAAGAAAATGACAGTTGCATTTAATTTCCAGTACACATGTAATGGATTGTCTTCTGAGAATATTGATCAAGAGGGATAAAAACAGCACTGGAGATGTTTCTCTCAGGTTATCACAGAACTGTAGATATGAAATATTTCCCAAATGTAACTACTCTCATTCTCATTGGGCAAAGTATTCAAAAGATTTCAGACCTAGAGTACTGTCTGTTGCTCAGAGCTGTGGATTGCTGAATGCTGTTTAGTGGTGAGTTAACTATGAGTTTTCTTTCTAGCCGAATTTAGCTGATTTCCAGTCCCTTACCAAGATATTCTTTCACAAACGCTCTATTCATGTGTTCAAGGAAGAAAGCACTATTCAAAGGAGTCAGGATCTGGCACTTCTTTACCTAAGTATCCAAAAATTCCATTTTAAACATGGATCAAATTATGTCTGTTATGTATTACAGTTTTTTTGTAATTTAGAACCTATTGTTGGATATTTTTTTTCTCTTATTAGAAACAGTATTTTTTAAAATTAGAATAATTACATCAAAACCTTTTCCAGGAAACTGGTTAGAATTAAGACATTTTAATGAAAATAATCCCGTATTTAAGAACACATAATAATTTCTCATGAACTGTTGTAGCTGCTACTGTTTTTTCTTTGTTGGCTTAATTGAAAATCTTTCTCAATCAGCAAGATTCTGCACAGAGGGTGTGGTCTCAAATTATTTGAAACTACATAACAATTTTCTGTGTAAGTTAATGGCATCTTGACAAAAGAGAGTGACATTTTGTTGTTCAGTGCTGCAAAATAATACTGCTGCTTCTATTGCAGAAAATAGATAATCTACAAAAATGTGTAAAAATTGAAAAAGGTTTATCAGAAATTTCCAGAATTGAAAATTTGGAGCCCCAACAAAGCTGAATGTACTTGAATAATAACTTGACCAAGAATATGGAGGTGAGTTATGTGTCCTTGTTATGATTTCTTTTCTTTTGTCTAACGTATGGTATTTTAATAGTGTGGTATGTAAATGTGCCTAATAAGTAGGGGTAACTTTTAGAATTATTGAACAGAGAGGACAATTTTAAACTTAAATTTATAAGAATTAAGGTTGAAACATTATTTGGAACTGATTAGCTGTCAAGTTTTTCTGCATATTCAGAGTTAACTAAATCACTCATTTTCAGAGTCCTCTGAGATTCTTGATGAAGAAAAGATTTTTTTTTTTAGTTTTCTTATAACTGCAAATTTTTGTCTGAAGTTCTATCCTGTCTTTTTCTCATGCTGTCATATATCAAATTAGCTCCTATGAAAAATTGGTTTCTCTTCTTTCCCCCCCCCCCTTAATACTCTTTATGCTAACCTTTGAGTTGGAGGCTAGTCCAGAACCAGTGAGAGCTGTCATTAGCAGTTTGACATGTAAAGGGAGAAGAAATGTGTAAATGTCCATTTCTAGCAAAAGACCATGTAGCTTTCTGAATTGCCCAGGTCATCGTGCCCCAACAGGGGAACAGAAGTGCTGCAGCTCAGTCCACCTTCTGTTGGGACAGTACATGAGAAAAAAAGGCAGAGGAAGATAATGATACCGAAATAAAAGTAGTTAGAGCAGAAGGAGCTGCTGGTAGGGATGAATGAGACCAGATCACTGTGAACCTTCAAAGTCATAGAGAAAAGGAGAGAAATTGAAGCTGGGCATGATGATAGGGAAGGAAGAAGAAGACTAAGAAGTTACAACTGACAAAGTACAAGTCTAAAGGCGGTAGAGTGTTTCCAGAAATTATTATTAGCAAAGACACTATGCACGCTAGTGGCATCTCACTGCAAAGAACTGCAGTGTCATCATGGAGAGAAATGATTGACATCAGTGATTTAGTTCTCCTGATATCCTGTGACCAAGACATGGACTGTAGCCAAAAGGTAATGAGTACTTGTGACATGGGGCATGATCTGTTAGGTTTCTCATGTACAGCTGTGAAACTAAGGCTGGAGGACTAGGTTTATTTTCACTGCAGTATCATTTACAAAGGCTTTCCAAGCTAATTCCCTTTCGGCAAAATGCATTCTCTTTCCATGTCAAAAGAAAGCTTTAGTTTACAACAGAGGCTAACATTATTTAGACTCCAGTCAAATTTTGTTTTACATTTGAATGATCTGCCTCTTCGCCGACAGGGTCTTCAGTATCTGCAGTGCTATATTAGATTAAAACTGTATTGTTTAAAACATTCACATACTTACATACTCTACAGAATTTACAAGAGGTCAAGCTCACTGGAAACTTAAAAGGTAAAATAGGAAGGTGGTCTGCGGAGCCGCAGACGAACGACATGCCGAGACGGGTTCAGTGTGGGTGATAGAGCATCAATCAACGTGTGTGTTTATTGGTCCAGGGTACATATATTTATACAGACAATGATAATTATTATGCCTACTAGTCACTAGCTGATTGGCTTAAGCTCTAAAGGTCGTATTCACACGGTCCACCTACTTGCAGTTAGCTTACAGCACAAGCTTCTCATAACACTAAGTTTCTCATGCTACTATTTCTGATTCCTATTGACTTGTTTTCAATACACGACAGTACCATAACACAATGTTTCTCAGACCACCGTTACCATAACACTGGGTTTCTCAGACCACTATTCCTAATCCCCCTTAACCTGTTTTCGACACACCACGGTACACAGGGCTGAAGCGTCCTTGATATTCCTCATGTATCAGCAGCTGCGAGCAGCTGCAGGCAAACCCTAGTGAGGCCCAGCATCAGCAGCTAGAGCAGGCTCTGATCATACAATTGCTCGGTGGGCTCAGGACCCTTGTCTCTGAGCCATTCTCCAACAATTCCCCCTTTTTGTATGAGCAGAGCCTGCGCTAACGTTCGTTCAAAGATTTTCTTAATACGTGACAAGGCACAACTTAGGCATGCAGGCTTACAATCTACTGGCTAAAGGCACAGGACCCTTGTCTCTGAGCCATTCTCCAACAGTGGTCAAGTCTGTCATTTCTAGCATGAGCATTCTGATTACTACCAAGGATTTATGTACATGGTTTAATCTTTCTCTCATTCTAATAAAAATTTCCTACCATCTTGCTTGGTTCAGAATCATGTCCAATATACACAGCCCTGATCATCTCAGAGTCTATGTGAAAACTCCCTAGGGTGCTCATCTTTGTTTACTCCAAACTTCTTTCCATTGCTGTAGCCATGTCAAAGAAGACAAAAAATAGGTATCGGTGGGATTTGAGCATATATTTATTTTTATTTTTCACTGCCCTTAGTATAAAGGGCTTTTAATTTAAATCTAAATCAAGGCTGTTTAGTTATAAATGGAAATGTAAATCATGTCTGCATGTCTGAACAGATACTAGAGAATCTATTAATTTTTCTTGGTTTATCTTCATCTGTAATAAAAAGATCTTCCAAATGCTATCCCTGCACTTAGGGTAGAAATGGAAAATAGTATATTACATGTATGATCTCTTAACTATAGTGTTAACTATTCTTCAGAATAATCAACAGCCAAGTTTCTAGGACACTTAATGTATTGCAGGCCATCCATTTCCAGTTTCAGTTCTGCAAGGTTCATAATTAATTGAATCCAGTGTCTCAAGGCTTAGGTAAATGCTTTGACCAAGGGGCTCTTAAATGGAACTGCACCAAGAAGGAAGCCTTGGGGAGCCAGTCCAGAACAGTGGACTAGATAAAGTCCTCACCTAATGTGGTAAACTGAGTTTCAAGTTGCTTCTTTTATTCATCCAGTAGAGGTGTTTGCAGAGGACCTTCCTGCTGAATTCCCAGATTGTTACGGTTATTGCCTATTCTAGCTGATAGTATGAACTTTTCTGAAAGGTCTGTGTTTTTGAAGAATAGAAAGCTCTTTCTCACCCAGCTCTCAAGTTACTGGTGTTTTTTTTTGTTCTGATTAGTCTGTTCCCCTTTGTTTAAGAACAGTATAAGCAACATAATGAATCGGAGTCATGCTGTAGTTGCATCAGTGCAACTGCAGTTTTCCTCAAATGAAAAGATGTGCGCCACAGATTTTCTGTACAACAGTTTTGTAAACATTCCTAGTAGGTCTTTAATGCACTTTGAGTGACCTCTTTGCACATATGTCTATACAAATATAACAGAAAAAATATTTCTGATTACATAAATAGAACCTCTTAAAAGTACTTTGATCAAGAGTCAACACATTCTTTTGATCAAGGGTGCACAGACAAAGGACTCTGCTCATGCCTTTATGGTCATATCTTCCTCCTTTGCTTGCAGTGTGTAGATCAGGTAGTATCCAGGAAGCAGACATGCCCTTCAGTCTACCTCATCTCTGTCAGAAGTGCTATAGTTAGTACATATATGAATATTTTAAATAATATTCACAATGGCATGTGTAGGCAAAGTGAGCTAAGTTGTTTTCTTTAGGAAGAGTTTTGTGGAAGTTTTATACTTGGGAGCCAAATCCTTGCTTGTTATTCAAAAAGAACGAGTAGTTAATTTTCTTGCTTTACCTAATCTCAGCTGTATAGTGGCTTGATTGATCCTAAAGACTTACCTCTTAAAAAAGAATGGAAAGAGAGTTTTGCTTCCACAAAGCAGAGAGTAATTACTATGCCACACAGTGATCACACATGGGGAGAGAAATAATCCTTGCCCTTAGGTGTCTGAGGAAAAGCTGCGCTTCCATTTTAACTGTGCCCTCTAACTCTCTTTTCATTGCTGAGACGTGCATCATAATGAAGTCACACTGAGGGATCGGTCCTGCCTGGGTGCAACAGTGGTCTAATTGATATGAATAGTACTGGGATATGAGCCAGTATACAACAGAAGAATATATGCACTTGCTCAGAGCAGAGCTGTCCTTTTGACCAAGTAATTCAGCTTTTCCTATTGACAATCAAGAATTTGAATTTGTTAAAGTAATTTTTCGTTTTGATGTTTTCAGATATGTTTTTTAATATACATCTAGTGGGCTTATCTTTTGAGGAAACATAAATAAGATAATTTCCCTGCCATACTTTAACATAACTTCTTGCTTCTGAATCCTAATGGAGTCTTTTTATCAGCTGGAATGTGAATTTGCCAAGCTGCAAAAGTTGGGTAAAACATCAAGTAATAAATCTCTAAGGAGTAAGAATCTGGAAACTGAAAATTCAGTTCATGATAATAAAGATACAGAAAAGACGTCTTGAAAAAGCATTTTTACAAAAAAATAAATGCACTGGAGAAAAGAATAGCATTCCAGAACAGAAAACTGAATGAGTATGTTTAGTGAATTGTACAAGAGCAGTATTCTGATATTTTCAGACATTAATAATTGGGTACGATGGTGGCTGGATTGGGCTGATGGTGGTTAGGAGATTAATGACAGGACTTGAAGCCTTTCTCACACTTTTTTTTTTTTTTTAATAAGTTCCAAACTGGGAGTATTGCAAATGTCATTAAAGTGGCAGCTTTTATGTGGTCTGAATTGTTGACCAGTTTCTAGTAGGCAGATGCTGCCATTCCCATTACTGGTGATCTCAGTAAATAGGAAGAGGATTGAACAAAAATAGCTGGGAGGAGCACTTATATTGGACCAATGCTTGGAAAAGTTTTCTGGGCTTTTAAACAGTAGAAATCCAGCAAAGTGATATGGTTTTTTGTGTTTCTGTTTGTTGCAGTTTTTTTTCCCTTGTAATTCCAATGTGATTTTAATGGCTTTTTTTTTCTGGTCATTCTTGATTCTGGCTTAGGACTTCCTGAGTCAAATTCACTCTGAAATCAATGGCCAGCACAGAGTGTATACACAGAGAATCCTTCATAATAAGGCATGTGGAGGATATCAGTGATGCCATAAACCTAGTGTTGGAAGCCAGCATGGATCTGAAGCTCATTGTACAGAATTTTTATGAAGGAAGAATTGGATGGCTCTCTCCTGATGAGTAGAAAGCTGTCTAGAAAGGACAGCTAGGGCATATCATTCATCTGGCCAGTTCTTGCTTTGTTTTTGTGTCTAAGACCAATGAACACTGTTTCTATCTACAGGTGTAGTACAAAGAGTCAGTAGTGCATCAGGCCCCAAAAAAATCAAGTCATTTAGATTTTGCATTTGAGTGGAAATAGTGTACTGAAGCATTACTGTTTTAAAGCTTAATAAAGATGGAAAGACTTTCAATCATCTGGAGGAAGGAACAACTGATGGAGGTGTGGGAGTTTTTGAACGGACAGTGAAATTTGCTGCTGTTACTTGCTGCTGATTTCATGACAGTGCCTCACACTGCACCCAAGTCCAACACGGTTTCATTAGTGCTGCAGTTTGGGCTGACATCATTATGAATACTGAATAGCAAACTAAGACCTTCTCTTACTTGAAGAGGTGATTCCCCTAATTTCATGATTACAAAGCAATACTGAGGGTGAAGTTGATGAAGCTTGGTGTTGTGAATCAGTATAGGGCCAGTATATCCACATACTAGAATCAGTATATTCACAGTTATAGTCTTTCAGACATAAAAAAACAAAAAAAAATCTTTCTGTAAGAATTCATCTAAATTTGTTGTGTAAAAAAAAAAAAAAAAAATCAAAACTATGTTAATTTGTCCTGTAATATTGTTGTAGGCAGAATTTAAAAATATTTCCAAGTGGAAAGGAAGAAAAGTTTTAATTTGGTACTACAAATCTTGTTGATGGAATTGGAAATAGTGGGAAATATTCACTTTGAAGGTTTATCAAAAAATCCATAGTAAACTTTTAAAGATATGTCAAACTAGAACCTGTTTCTTATAATTCCAAGTTAATAATTTTTAAAAACCAATCTTGTTACAAGGATCTAGGGTATTTTGAAACATCAGTTCTCCACAGACTCCATTTGCAGATAGCTGACAAGAAAGGAAACACTCTCTCCCCTCTCCTTCCCTTGGTGGTATACTAGGCTGAACCTCTGAGCCCACAAGGACTGATCTTTTTGTTGCCTTTATTTTTTTATTACCTATTTATAAAGACCTTGATTTCAAAAAGGAGAGATAAATGAATAAGCAAGCTATCCAATTGCTTTTCAACAACAGTGATAATGATTATTCTAAGTTACAGCTTTACTTGTAAAGAAGCATCAGAAGTTGCTTACATAATCTTTGTACAAACAACCTTGATGCTCAGTTGAGGGGAGATTGAAATTTAGGCTGGCAATATTTCAAGGACTGTTTTCTGCTTGAGTACTCCAAGCTTGTTCACCTCAGGTATGCCTTCTCTTTTTGTTCTAGGATGTTTGTTTAGAGCTGCAGGTAGTTTTGTATTTACAGGTTCCATTTGAGGTTGTTTATAAATAGCATTCTGCTTACTTTTAATGCAACTTTATTAAGCCAAAGATCTTTTTTTTTGGAAGGAAAAATTAATAAATTACTCTTGTAGGGATGAAAGCCAAACCAAAGCATTTTGGATGAGTAATCTTAGCACAGAATCTTTTTGAGAGGGAGCAGTATTTTTATTAGTTGCAATAAGGATTTTGACTGTTTTATCTTCCATTTTAAGAAAACTTCCCATTGATTGAAAAACTGGAGAACCTACTGCATTTCTTGGTTGGTTCTCTTTCTAAGGTGTCTGATTACCCCATAATCTTTAAGGAATCTCACAGTACCAGATGGAAGTAATGGCATTTATTGTCTCTCTAGTCAGACACAGAGAAAATGGCCACATATTTTAAAGTCATTTGACTTGTGTACCACAGGGAATAGGTGAGTTTCTGCCCTCAGGTTCCTGGCTGGCCAATGCACTGTCTCCTCTTTCTGAAGTTTGATGGTAGAAATTGTAGGTTATTGCAAAATGTGCTTCCTTTATGCATGATTGCACTTAGTATACTAAAACTTCACTGCATAGTGAAGAAGGATTTAAACAGATTTTAAATGTGACAGTGCAAATAGAGAAAAGGAACACAATGAATCATATGATTAAATATTGATATTTGATGCTTAACTTTGAATGTAGCATTTGAATAAAATAAGGTAAATTTATTTGTCTCCACTTGAAAGAACAAAGTTATAATGAAATGAAACAGGCTAAAGATATTGCCTGTGATTCTTTCTTCTAAATAGGAAACAGGAGAAAATCATGTAAATCATGTAGTTAGCACTAAAAAATTCAGTGCAAAACAAGAAGAAAATATTACTAACTTAATGCTCTCCTTTGTGCATCTCTGCACATAGGTTTAGTTCTTGTTATATAATTCAACCATGATTCTGTACCTGGACTCCAGAGTGTACTGTATCATCAGCACAAAAATACTTCACATCTTTAGAGTGCACAATCAAATTCTGAGGCTGAAATTTAAGGAGAAGCTGCAGTCATTTGTACTAGACCCCATTCCAGTGGGTGATAGGCAATTTGTGCATCTTCCCTTAGGAGCAACTATCAGCCCAACACTGTTGGCTGATGAAAAACCTCACGATCTGGTGTTTATTTTGGCAAAGAAGTCCAGCAATAATTAATCAAATGCTCACACTAACCTGATGATGCTCAGACAGCAGTGTTGTAAATCAGCATAAATTACATCCTTATGAAAAAGAATTTAAAGAAGAAAATAAGTTATCATAAGTTTTGTAGCATTTATATGGGGTTCTGGATCTGCTGTCAACATTTATTGTTCTGTTCTCATGCTATTGCTACCTTCCTGCTAGGGATCTTCAGCAAAGACAAGACTTGTGGTTCCAGAGGCAAATAAATAAGTGGGGGTTGTTTATGGAAGACAGAACATGAAGACTACTCTTACTAATTATAAAGAGGTGGGGGGAAAGTCTTGCAAGTGATCTCATGATTACTGTAAACATCAGTATTATGGAATTTGTGTTAATTATAGTCTTTTATCCTTAGTAAATATTGTGCAATGTATAAACTTTATATGGTCAGAATGTCTATTCATGTCTTTTGCCTGCTTTTGGAACAGCATAATGAAAACCTGAAGTCTTTCCGTATTATCTTCTATTTGTAGTTTCTTAATAAGAAAAGATGGAATCTCTGTCTTATGTATGCAACCCTGAGTAGCCAGTTAAGGAAAAGCAGCTGCTACAAGTGCTGGAGGATAATTTCCAGGGTCTGAAACTCCATACAGTATGCTGCATTGTGGACAGAAGAGTGCTGTTGTTTAGTATAGGATAGCACAGAAGAGAGCAGGCAGAAAAGCGCTGCTCTCTTTTCTTCTCTCATTGTTTTTCTATTCATATTTATTGTTTTCTTCATATTTCTTCATGTTTCCTCTGCTGCATTCTTCACATCTTTATGCCATCCATGGCAAAGGTATGATTAACGCTTTCCAGTTTTTCTCTTCATCTTATTGTCCTTTATTTGTCTTTTCTCTTTTTGTTGCAGATTGTCTCTTCTCACTCACCACTTCTCATCAGTGCCCCCCACTAGAGTTTGTGGGGGTTGATGTAGGACTACTTTGGAAGTCTCCACAGGAACAGCTGCATCACCTGTATTTACTGCCTGTGGAACAGACTGGCTCAGTGTTTTTTTCAGCCATTTATTTTATAATTTTCATTTTTATTTGTTTGAACACAATATTATTTTGCTATTATTATGTTCTTCCTACCAGTGCTAGCGCAAAGCATAGCATGGGCTTTCAGTTTTTTCAGTCTCAGTTCTAGTTCTCAGCATCCCAGGTCCTGGCTTGCAAGCCTCATCCTAACTCTAAATCACTGCCCTCTTTGTTCTTAATCTTAAATTTAATCCTAGTCCATTTATCTCTGGTATCTCCAGATGCCTAGCCCTAAATGTATGGTGCCTCTGGCATGGATCCTAGTTGTCAGACCAGTCATAACCCTAGAAACTGTCAGTCCTGTCCCCATGACTTGTTCCATCTCCAGACTGTAAAATAGCCAGACAGATGGAATATATTATTTGATGCTAAGTAAGAAATTATGAATAACGAGGTATTTTCACAGGCTGAGAATGATTGAGGTTGGAAAGGGCCTCTAGAGGTCACCTTGCCCAACCCACCTGATCAAGCAGAGTCACAGCAGGGTGCACAGGACCATGTTTAGACAGCTTTTGAATATCTCCAAGGATGGAGATATTTCAGGGAAGGAAGTTTTCATTCTGATTTATAAAGGAAAAAAATAGAAAGTAGAAAATTAATTCAGAGCAACTCTTCTCTAGTCCCCATTGCTCTCCTTTCCAACCATTTTTGCTCTGAGAAGAGATCAGATTTTTGGGTGGCAAGACTATCTTCAAATGCAGTATCTATTGTCCTGTTTTGCTTTATTATTGTTTATATCATGCTAGTTTGCAGAGGCCCCACTGAGATTCCTTTTTGTGGTGTTAAATGCTAAATAAGCATATGTTGTTGTTTAACCCCAGCCAGCAACTAAGCACCACACAACCACTCACTCACTCCTCCCCCTTCCCATTGGGGTGGGGAGGAGAGTCAGGGAAAAAAAGTAAAACTCGTGAGTTGAGATGTACAGGACAGCATAGAGGAAGATCAGCCCTGTCCCAAAGAGCTAACAATCTGATTTTCTTGTCTGTATCTCTCGTGTTATTAGAATAATGATATCATAAACTATTTTCTTATTCATTATTCTTCACTTTCCCTGCCTGCCATCCCTTGACATAATTCATAGTTATATTTTCATGCCACTTAAATTTGTTTACATTTTTAAAGGGATTTTCTTAGTCAAATAAAGATACTTGGCCTTGCTTTCATCTTTTCAGCAGTCTGACAGGAAAAAAAGCTTTTCTTCTCTGTCTAAGTGTATGTGAAAGTCTCTGAAACAGTAGGCTAAGGCAAAAGGCGAAAACAGAAGTGATCCTGAGAAGTTATTCAAGCATGACAATTCAAAGTTTGGAAAGATCTTGTAAAATACATACTGTATGGCTTGTGTAATTGCTCTTACAGAAAGGACATTTTGTAAATACTGTAGATGGCCATGAGGTGGCATATGCAGCCTTGAAAGGAGCTCTGAAACTGCTGAAATCTGTCCCAGTGGCATTTCTGTGTATTAGGAAACTCCACAAAAGGCATGAGCTACTGGGAGTAATTCCCAGACAGGAGTTTGAAGCATCTGTGAGAGATATGTGCGAAATAATTAGATACGTCTGGTCTTTTCTAGATGAGTGAGGAAAGACAGAAGTACATTGGCACAATCTGCATCCAGGTCAGGGCACGGAAGGGAAAAACACCACTCATGTTGTGTAACTCCATCATTGCAGTGGCTTAGGAATGATCAAATTTCAACCAAATTTAAAAACATACAGAAGTCTTAAAGGTGATTAAGGATTTATGATTTTTGTAGAAATGTGGCTTAACCTAAATAGGATACATCTCCTCCTCCGTACAAAGTAAAGAGACATTTCTCAGCTTTTCTAGGATTTGTTTAGCATCAGCCCACAGGACAGTCAGCATGGACTTATGGTAAGTTTGTCAGAATATATATAGCTTGAGACTAGCCACTGCACATACTACCTTTTGCTTGGCCTTGGTGTCATAGGGAGCTTGGAGAAGCTGGGCTTACTGCAGTATCGAAGAAAGAGGTTGGAAGACACAAAAACAAAGGATACCCGGGCTCAGGTTCCATTGTTTATAAAATTACTTGTATTTCAGATTTCACTGGCTTTAAATATCAGTCAGCTACAAATGTTAGATTTCACAGTGTAATCTTTTTTGCCAAAGTATATTTGTTTCATAAAAACAGAATGATAATATATTAAAATACATATTTTTATTAATATGTATTACATATGAAAGCATTCATTTGCCAGCCCAAGATGTAGCACACCTGTTATTACATTATGAACCACTGTTGTATTATCCTGTGTGCACCCCCAAGCTAGAATTAGAAGCATTGTCTTTTTTCTCTCACTTAGGGAAAGTGATAATTGCAAAAGTTTTCCTTGGCCACAGTGCTCCAGCTTGTGCAATGAATCCCATCTATCAAGTCAACTATCCAGAAGCTAATTCAGTGTTCAGGCCATGGAAATGCCTAGAAAGTGATGCATCTACTTCTGGCAATAGTATTTGTAGGCACCTATGGTGCTGCAGCTCCCCTCTGCCCCTCTTGAGCCACTCGGTACTTCGGTACTTCGTTCCATTTTCGCCCCTGGGTCTCATGCCAACCCAGGATGAATAGGGAAAGGTAGTGGACCAGAGTGTTCAGGCACTCCCTTAACACACCAAATTCCTATCTCCCCTATCACTTGGAAACAGACCACATGCCAATTCAAAATGGATTGGGAAAGTCGATAGACCCGAGCATTAAGGCAACCCTTTATTCTCCTCTCCCTTTGCCTTTTCTTAAGGATCTATTGCCTGTCACTGCTCAGCTCCACTCTTCCCATACTGCTCTCTCATAATGGAAGAGTCGCCAGTTCCTTACTGTTGGCAGCATCTGTTCCCTTCTCCTGTGAACCAACTGACTGTCTGACTCCCCATCTTACCATCAATAATGAGCAAGGGGAGTCCCAGGCACTAGATCCAATTAAGTCTGTTTAAAGATTAAATGTATTTGATTACTTTAACCAAAGTTTCTTTTGCCACACTTTTGGCCATACAACTATTTTCAAACCTGCGTTGTCTTGCAGCCCAACCGGGAATATTTTGATGCAAGCCATAACCATCTGATCGCTCTTGAGGTCATTAGAGGCTTAAGCAAACCTGAAGTTCTTCAACTTGAGCTAGAACCAGCTGAAAAAGTCCAGGGAAGATATAAACATCTTACATAAATACATTCCCAACTTAGTCTTGACATCACACACAACCCATGGCATAAGGTACATATCAGCACTAAAAATTTCTGGGAAAGCATTCTAACCATGACCAGAGCTATAAAGGCTTAAAATCTGGTCATGCACCTTATTAATTCTAAGGCTCTTGCAATGTAAAAAGCCTTATGATCATGTTATGGCATATTTGTGCTCACAGGGCCTTCATTTCTTTTTGTAGGTCCAGCATAACCAAGTGAAAAAGCTGCATGTCATTTTTGCTCAGAGACATGTCTGAGACATAATTCCTTTCTTTTTTGCTTCCCTTAAGAATTAAATTTATTGGTGGCCTGGGCCAGATATCAAAATCCATGCCCTGGTTTTAATTTTGCTGTCTCAGCTGCACTGAATAAGGGTTGGGAGCAGAGACAGTTCCTAACCTTGGGGATGTGCATATACACTGTTAGTCTCTGTTACTGCATGTATCTGTCTGCAGCAGCACAGCTGTGTTGGCTGGAGCTTTGGCAAGAAAGCCAATACTCAGCCCTTTTACTGACTCTCATTCATTCCTATTGCCCAACCAGCTTCTGGAACAAATGTTTCTCTCTGTTCTTTATTCCCTCTGAATCAGTACATTTTAACATTATTTAAAGGGCTTAGTCAGAGTCAGCAGAGTTGAACCTTACAAACTGGAGGCATTGAAAGACTCTTGAAATAGCTTTTTAATAATCATGTAACACTAAATTTAATATTTTGTACAAGTCAAAGTCAGGCAAACAGAGTATTATCTGAATAGAATACCTCTCAAATAATTTGAGCAACAAACCAACACAGGAAACAGAACTTTATTGGGGAATCCAGAATGCATCTAAAAAGATGCTGCCTTGTCTATTTGGCCTGTCAATTAAGCTTCAGTTGACCTTTTCAATACATCCTGAGATATAAAAAGAAATAATAAGAGCTACCAGTTCTGGTCTCTGGTTCTTTGTTGTTATTACACCGGTTTTTATCAGATAAAACTTTTAATTTTGCTGTGTTCTTTGCCATCAGCTCTGTGTCAAGATGGTAACTCTTGAGTATTACACATCACTAAACCGGTTCCTCTTGAGTTTCTTAGGCATCTAACCACAATGTCTAGTTAGTTCAGTTCAGAGCAAAGTAGAAAATCCTTACTGCCTCTCGGAGTTCTACCATTTAGCTGGTAAGTGATTGTCTTTGGCTTATTTGACTGTCAAAATATATCTATATTCCATTCATAAAGACATTATTATTATTCATTATGTGAGAAGTGTGTATTTCATGTATTATGTTTTAAACCAGTATATAGGATAGGTTTGTGGTGATGTCTTGAGGTTTTGGTGACACCTCTAAATCCTTTGAACTTCACGTCGTGTGAAGCTTCCTTTGTTTTTTGTAATATTTCTAGGTCATAAATGAAACTCCTAGATTATAAAAATAAATACTAATACATCTTACATATTAGTGAGCTTCATAAGATTAGTAAACTTTTGAGTTAGTCCATATGACTCCAGATCAGTTTATTACCATCAATGTCACATAAAATCAGGACAATCAAAACTGGCCCAAAGGTACCTTGTCTCATGTGTTTCTGTCAAACTACAGAAGCAGGGATGACACAGTGGCTCTGTTGAAGATCGTAACAAAGCTCTAACTCTTGATATTCCACAAGATGACAGTACACTAAACAGAAGGGAAATGCAAGTCTCTTTCTTGTATATAAACTGTATTGGCAATTTAAAAAATTTTCTTTCTTCAAGCCAGCCTCACATAAACTGAGTGGGATTGTCCTATTAAAGGCTCTCACTAACCTAGAGGGAATCCTGCTCTCTAATTAAGAAGTTGCAGAAGCATTACAATGTATTGTGGGATCAAAAATGACCCAGGCTTGATGTTCTGTTTTGTTGTAACTTACAGCAAGCGCTGTGGAAAAGGAAGGCTTTAGGAATAGTTCTGCACCTGTTTTTTAAGGAACATTTTGTTTTCTGTTCTTTTGTGAAGACAGTTTTGTCCTTGCCTCTGGCAATAGGTCAGAAAATATTTAATAAACACTGATCTTACAAAGATCTTTGTTGGTACCAAAAATTTTATTCTAGAATGATCTTGGAAACAGTCATATTCAACTTCTGCTGAATTCAGAATGCAAGAAAGTAACTGCATTTATCAAATTGAAACAATGGAGAGGAAAGTAACAGGATAAACCAATGGTTCTAAATGCTCTTTTAAGTATCTAGTGCAAATCCCTTGTCTTAAGGTCTTTTCAGTAGGTAATTTTTCAGAATATTTTATATGCAGATATGAAGCAATCCTTCCCAACCCTGGAGCACAAACTTGTTCTACTTAAATTCTGGACTATATCTCAAAGCACTCCTGAATCCTAGGCTGATTCTTAACTAACCCATTGAATGGGCTGTATAGGTTAGAACTCAGTATCATGCTAACACAACTTTTATATGGTCACAGCACAAGCACAGTGAAAGTATGTCTGCTCATATGCTAAGTAAGATCATGTCTTTCTGCAGTAATAAAGGATAAATATCTTCACTGAAAACAGACTGTAGATAATACAGAATATTTTAATGAGGTCTACCTTCTCTATGTACTGAGAACTCTAGAAACTTGATTGGTGCAAGATCTACAGGAGTCTTGCAAAACTAATTAACTTATTAGATCTATGAATTATTATGTCTAATAATATATCACCTTCCCCTTCCAAGAATAGCAGGATTTTTATGCCATTTACTATATGCTAAGCTGTGAAGTATGTATAGTATATCTGATTATATTATATACTTAGTACACTGTTTTCCTTTTGTTTTTTCCCTCAGGTGTCCCTGTTAGAATATACTAGGACTGGTGAAGAAAAAACTCCCATTCTCAGTGTATTTCCTTGCACTAAAATTCTGTTCCAAATTTGAAAGATCAAGGTGGATTCGCAGATGCATTGTAATAACTGGTATCCAGTGGTAGGGCTGATGCTTTTTAATGTATTTTGGTTAACATTTAGACTAATCCCTGTAAAAGTTTTCTATTGTTGTCTTAGATTAAAGGGTTTATGCTTGGTTAAAATATATTTCTGAACACATTCAAGTCTAAGCAAAAGTTATATTGTCTCTGAGCTCTGAGAATGGCCATTTCTAATTGCCTCACAGCAGGTTCAGGATACCCTGAATAGGACATTGAAGTTATTTATTTTGCAGTACAACTGTCTTTTTAGTATTAATACCAGGGAGTCCAACCAGCCACCGCAGATGCCAATACCTCTGTTGCTGATGCTGGTTTGCTGGTATGAAACCCACTCTTAGTGTTTGTTTGAAGATTTCAAGTAACAGTGAATCTACCAGGTCTCTCATATTTCTCTATCACGTCTATCTTGTTTCTAATACAAATTTGGCTACTATCAAATTCAATGCACTGGGTCTCATTTTGTCTCTATCTGGTATTCTAAAGGAGCAGAACCAGATATTTTAAAGGAGAAGACGTCTTCTCCTTCTTTAGCCAAAATCATCCCACTTTATCTTATCTTAAAGAAACTAAGTTAGGTTGAGATTCTTAAGTGTCTCATTATAAAGTGTTTTTTTATTTTTCAGGACATTATCCTAGTTTCTTTCCAAACATGTTTTGTTACGTACACACGATTTTTATATATAGCCTTCTACAAATCTATGCACAAACTTCCAGCACTGGAGTGATAATGACATACTGAGAAATAATTCCACTTGCCTAAACCTACTCACTAGTCCAATGATTAATTAACTGACACGTGTGTCCTTGTGGCAACAGTGCAAGCTCATATTCAGCTGGTTTTCTATCATTAGTTTTATTCCTTTTCAGTGTTCCTGAGACACTGTCTTCCATTGTGTGAGTGTGAATTTCTCTATTCCCAGCTACATAATTTCCAGTTTGTTCTATGCAGAAATGTGCGTTTTAAATACAGCCATCATGTTAGTCATTGTAAAACTATTGTTTATAGCTGACCTTATTAACAACTTTATGTCATCTCCTAATTTACCAGGAAGGTACTCCTGCGCTTTTTAACTGGATCATTGAGAAAAACAATTTTGAGCAAAACATCAATAAAAATACTCTGTAAAGTGATGATTTTTCTTTCTATAGTTAAATTTTGTGATCCATCCTCTAACATTGTCTATTTAACAAGTTACCTTCACTTTTGGATATATTTTTTTTTTCATTATTTTCTCAGACAGAAGCTATTAATATTATCAGTACATATAAATATTCATCAGAAGCAGTTTGAGATTAATTTTTGTTTCTGCTATGCACCAGACTGGCATCTATTAATGAGGCCATTAGTTTGTAATTATTTACTGTATTGTGTATTTCTGTGATACCTAAGGCTGATATCAAACTAACTGACCTATTTTAGTCATCCTATTTATCCTCAATACTATTATAACTTCAGTTTGTTCATAACCTTCTAGATCTTCCCAAGCATACTATCATTTGTATAAAGCCAATTGATGAGTGGCTCAGAAATTTCTTCAACTGGTTCATTAATATCCTTGATTGAAAAATGCCTGCTTTAAAAATGTTAACCTGAGTAGTTCTAGTTTTAGATTCTTTTTAGTTATTAATGAAATACAAAATATTTTTTTAATCTATGTAAATTATTAATATCTCATCATGGTTCTTCCCAAAGGCAGAGAAAAATTCACACTGAAACTACCTTTCTCTTCTGTATTCCAATTGACTATTCTAAAATCCTTAGATAGGATCAAGCCTGTAGCACTGCTTGAATTTCATTAAGTTTTTATTATAATCTCTGATTATATGAGCCATCAAATTTTCTTAGCTTTCATTTTCAGTAATCCCCGTTTCTAACAACCATTTTATTCTCACTGCTATCATTTTTCTGATTTTTCATTCACTTCTGCTGTAGTGGAATAAAAGGGACATGGCCTGATCCAGTAGGGCTCATGAATATTTGCTTTAGTCTGTAAACTTAAAAGGGTGAAGAGTTTTTTAGCTGTAAATGAAAAAGTGTGTAATGCTGAAGTGTTTAGTGTATCTTTATACCTCTCCTAACTAGCTTTCACATTTTTTAGCTTAAGTTTTTGTCACTCATTTCACGCATGACTGCTTTCAGCATATGAATATTGTCCTTTTTAAAACACCAAGGCTATATAAAGGACATGGTTATTAAAGCACTTGTTTGCTTTTTAAAGAATTGCCTCCTAAGGCAAGACAAAGTCCTTAATCTACTTGCTTCATTTAAAGATTCCAAGAATTTGAAATGTTCTGGAAGTACTTTAAAGGAGAGAGTCTGTGAAACTTCAAAAATGCTGAGCAATTTTATGAAGAGCAAGGACACTGGTGGCAAAGATAATGACAGTACCAGACTGATTCAGAAATTGCAGCCAGTTCCTTTGCATTCTCTCCCTGATGAGCAGAGATTTGCCCTGAGAATTTTTCATTAGAAAATTCAGTAGCTATGCTTAGCTTATTTATTTTGACAGTTTTGAACCCAACTTTGTTCTCATGTCACAGAAGTATAATGTTGAAACATGTTGAAACATTAGTTCTCCTAGTAAATTCTATAAACATAAATTCTCCAATACATATAGCAAAACAGTTTGCTAATACTGACCCTTCAAATATACCCTGCCCTAGAATTTAGAGGCTTAGTCATATTTCATGTCTAAAGCCAAATGAGCTCTACCACATGCATGTTGAACTCTCGATACTAATCCATTTCTTGTGATCAGGCAGGATTAAAATTTCAGAGTTCTACGAAATACCAATATGAAAAACAGATTGCAAGAAGAGAGCTAGTAGGTCTAATTTCAAACCAGCAAACTTTGAGAATAACCCTTTGAACATTATCTGTCACCTTGAAAGACTACCTAAAATTATAAAGTAATTAAGCAGTCACTTGGTGAGCAGCAGGACTGAAGGAAATTGGCTTGCCTTAAGAAGGAGCCTTGTCTTTGAGTTATCCAGTGCCTAATCAAGTGTGAGCTCTCATAGTTTCTCAGACCATTCAGAAGACATCTATCCTGGATCCTCTAGGGACTGGCATTGTGGCAGATCCTTTCCTTCACTGGGTTCATCAGTTTATAAGTCTAATTCAGCTGCTTGTTTACATGGAAGTTGGAGGAAGTCAAGTAGTGCTTGTCTGGCAGATAGGGCCGAAACTCATCAATAGGTTTAAAACTCAGTGGTAAGGTTAGCAGATGGATATAGAGATAGCACAATCACATTAGCCTTGTTTCCTTAGGAAACTGAGCTAACAAAAAGCCTCAAGAGTCAGTGGAGGAAGATCCAAGGTCACCCTAACCTGTTCTGGTCCGTCAGCTGAAATCATATTAATCTACCCAGTATGAAAGGTTAAAAGCTGATCTGTCAGTTCAATTTGTTATTAGAATGTAGAATAGCTAGAGGAAAAAGCACTTCTGCTGATAAGCATAGCATTTCATTCTGTGTGCATTAGGGAATTCATGTTTAGAAAAATTACCGGTAAAATTATGCTTTAGCATATGTCATATAAGTTTGGTGACATCAGAGAGAAGGGGTTCATAGAGGGTAAGAGAAATGCTTTGGAAAATAAAATGAAATATCCAGAAAGTATTCTTTAGTCATCACCAAAGCCAACCTAATAGCACAGAATATGTAAGTGACTGTTTGTCTTAAATACAATCTTGATACAACACTGGATATTTTGGGCCCCGGCAATACAATCTGAATTTTTTGACTGAGACTCTGTGATCTTTTATTTTCTCCATTGTGCAATGATGGGCTAACATACTATAGTATTATTGGAAAGGGGGAGTCATTGTCATACAAACAGGTTATAGATTGGATCACTGGCAGCCTTGTCTTTACAGGAACCTTGCTTCTGGCTGTCTAAAGTCAGATCCAGTGTAAGAAAATAATTTCACAACCTGGGCAGCAAAATGTATGTTTGGTATTGACATTTATTTGTTTCTGTTCAAGAAGATTTCAAACAAGAAAATTACTGAAATTTTAAATCTATGATAGAGAGAAAAGAGTACTTAGTTTGTATATAAAAATCACGAAGAACTATAAAGTTAGGATAAATTCTGCTTTGACTTTGCATTCAGTCTCTTCTAGGCTAAATATCTGGCCTTGGTGTTAGGCTGAAATCCTGTTTCCATTAAAGTCCTGTTGTAGAATGAGGATGTGTAAAGCAGACTAGCCAATAAAATAATCATGTATTACAGAGGATTTAAATTGAACAAAACTATCTAAGTTCTAATGCAGACAAGAAAAAAATATCTGTGTTCAGATAGTTTCAACTGCAATACAGTTGGGAGCTGGCATACTTACGTTGTAGAGTTCTTGTTTTTAGAGAAGCTGAAGTTTTTCAAAATATATTAAAGATGAGTGGCTCTGTTGTATAATGGAGAAATATCACACCCTGCATCCAAGAAGTTGCCATTGATATTAGTAGGAAATGTACACACAGAAACTGAGCACAGAATAAATAGGTGGAATTAATTTACAGATTCATCGACTAGTTGGATTCTTTCAATTCTAATACGAAGTTCTATTACAGGTCACTGTCTTAAATCTGGATGACCAACACTCTTCAGAATTTCCAACTGGGAAAAATTGGAGTATTTAAGATGGGCATCATTTAGCAACAACAATCTCACACAAATAGAAGGAATAGTCTTGTCTTAACCTGGAAGAACTCAACTTTAGATGAAAACTACATTTCAACACTAGATGGTACTATATTTACCATGGTAGTGATAATGCAGGCTGTTAAGCTGGGACACACTAGAAATGTTTCTTTATAGTGAAATATTATAGAGGGTGAGGTTTTACTCACTGCCAACAGAGTGAATTTTTAAAATATTAAAAAAAATTTGAGTGTATCTTTAGCAGAACTGAAGAAAGGGAGTGAGGCAGAAGTTATGTTCCAGCAAAATAAGTATTTCTTATTAAAATGTGCATATTCATCTATGTTTAATGATCTAATTGATCTAATGATCAATGATCTAGTTACAGTTGGATGCAGTAACACAAACTGTTGTCATTTGTAACTTGCTTTACCTTCTGTATCAGCCACCTTTTTCTATTGCAGCTCATTTTGTACTAAATGCATCTTGTTTTTTTCAAGGAATTTCAAAGCTGACTAAACTTCTAAGACATAGTGTAAATAATAACCATCTTATCAGTCTCAAAAGACATATATTTGAAAATCAGTCTTATCCTCATTACATTTCCATTGAGAACAACAGAATCATTTCTTTAGTTGGTTTAAAGAAAACTTATTCCCTATTATAGCTATACATAAGTAATAACTTTGTTAACACCAGGCAAGAGGTACATCATTTAATGGCAAATATTTACTATTTCAAAACTAATTTGTTTTTTATTACATGAGAAATACAGCGATTCCCCACTTGTTCAAGTATAAAGGAAGCTATACTTGAACATAATTGGAAGTTCTACCTGTGGGTGCTACATTCATCCATCTTTACAGTGGAACCTGAACTGATGAGAACCCCAGTCTGACATTTTTGGATTGATACTCACTCCTGAGAAGGAAGTACTGAACCCTTCAGGTAGACTGGTCTCAAAATGTACTGCAGAGAAAAACATCAGTTACGCTAGGTAGGCTAAATCAAGGTTTACAATCCATGGAATAATTCCACATCTCATTTCAAGTAACAAACAATTACACCTGCAGCAGTTCCAGTTCTTTTCAGCTTACCTAGAATGCTAATGTATGTATTATAAACTTTGTTGGCTGGATTCAGACACTAATAGGAGATTGAGGCCCTGATTCTTATTTATGTTCAAACTATAAAACTGTGTGAGCACAAAGGCTTGTAAGGCAATGTCAGGACAATTTTCATGCACTTTAAGGGCTTCTTTGTGGCTTGAGTGTTGAAAAGTGCTATTAATCTAAATGAAGATACCTGGATTTTATTCAGTGATTTCTCAGTTTCGAGTCATGCAGATGATGGCTGAAGGAGGAGCTGAAAACAAAGTAGTCTGAATGCACCTATATATAGATGATTTAAAGCTATATTAATAAATCCGTACTTTTTTCTATCTAGGGTCTAACTAATCTGATAATTTTGGACATGAGTAGAAATTGAATAGTCTGGAAAGAAGATCACTACCAACTGTTTGTATTATTCCATCTTCCCTCTCTCAAAGCTATAGTAAGTTATTCTGTATGTAGATTATTATTTTTTTTTTAAATAGTTCTTTAACAAATCAAGATCTAGCTGATCAGACTTGTTAATATGTGCGTAATCTTTTCATATACTCCATAATAGTTAATTGTCTGTATCTCATCAGTCATTTTGGGATAGAAATTGCCTTTTTTTGTAATAGTACCTAGCACAATAGTGTCCTGGCACATGCTAGGGTTCCCAAGGTTTTACCTATAATTTTGGAGCTTAATCATTTCTAACACCTATGAAATTAGTGTACATTACTTACAAATCTGTATTTTAAACTAACTGAGAGAACACAAACTATCTCCATTTATGTGTTTCATAAGAAAATGGTCATCCAGATCTGTTCATATAAAGGCAAAATACCACTTTTTTAAGTCACTTTGATTTTAAACATTTTTAATTCATTGAAATGTAAAATGTTTCTTGCCTATATTATTATGATAGTTCTAGATCTGGATTAATGTAGTGGACATAACTTCAAATGCATTTGACAGGAACCAACAGAAGGAGAAAGTGCAAAAGATTTGTTTAGAGGCAGATTCACCTCTGACATGATTGCAGATAGACTGAGATATTCAGACTTCAGAGAAATGCAAAAATTAAATTGGACAGCTTCTCATATCAGGTGTAGTGATTTTCAGAATTGCATTATGTGTTAAAAGTATCATCTAATACAGTGGATAGAATGTGAAAATCTAAAGCTGGAATCTGTATTTAGCAAATATGCCTGATAATTCCCTAGCATTTGTAGGCCAAATTCCCTTGACTGACCCATAAAATAAGTGTAATTTTTTATCACAAAGGGTTATTTTCTGGAGTTATGTTGAAGAAATGTTCTTTCTCTAGATGCTTCCATTTTTCATTTAGGGAGTGGTGCTGCCTGCACACAGTTTGACAGAAGAGGTCTAGGAGATATAGGATACTAGCTCCAACACAAGTATATCTAGAAGAGAGCTTTTATTTGATCAAAACCCCTCTGATCTAGTTCCTTTCAGAACATACTTGGCCAAATTGAGAACAGACAGGTATGTACGTGCAGTGCTGCTTCTGCAATCCACTGATTTCTGAAAAAGCTGCCTTGTCCACTGCAGATCTACTGGAATTTTGAGCAAGAATGACCTGTGATTGGTTGCATTAAATGCATCCTTAACTGAATACTAGTATGTGCACCCAGTGGGACAGTCACTGTTCTGCAACAAAAGTATTTTACACAGCACTAGTCTCACTTGTTTGCAGACATCATCCCTCTTCAGAAAGGCATTTCTATGGGTTGTATATATGTATTTGCCTTCTTAGAGACATACTTTTATTTTATATAATTTTTATTTTATATTTTGTTCTTTCACAGTATCTTGTCAGTGAAAGTCCCTACCTGATGTAATTTTCATGGCACAGTCCATGATCTTCATCTTTGCATCTTAAATGGCCTAGAAGTCCTTCAGCAACAGTATCACCATGCCAGGAATATCAGTGTCAATATTCTGGTGGAATTGAGTAGGTGTTGCTCATAAAGAAATTGTAACTCCTTTTAGGTTGACTTTTGGTTTCAAGAGACTGTTTTATTAAGATGTGAAAACAGATACAAGTATTTAAACATTCTTGTCAGGATTGTTTTCTGCAAGGGGTGGGTTGTTGTAAAAGGTTGTAGAGCAATACGATAACACTGACTATGTGCCCTTTAAGGTATTACAATTGCAAGCCTTTAATTTCTTGAAGTGATGTATCAAACAGCACAGTTATGAATTCCTAAAAATTACTTGGGGAATGCCTCTCTGACCAATAGAGTATCCTGCTTCTACCATTAAGTAGTAACAAGCACTTTGCAAGCAGGCTTCAACACAGCTGAGGTACACAGTTGCAATGTGTGGTGCTTTGGCAGGCGTCAGGGTAAGCGGAGAATGGAATACTCCATCTGAGCAATTGCAGCTCCAGTGCTACTGGAAAGCAATGAAAACAGCCCAAGAGGTATGGAGCTGGAATTTCCATAATGTGATATAGAAGCAAACAGAGCAGACTGCTGAAAGCCCTTGCCTTTGGTGTTAGAATCACATCAATTGTTTAATACTGGAAAAATAACTGTGAATTTGTTGTGATATTTTCATTAGGGCGCTTCTTTCATAGGAGCATGTTACATCTCTTACCCCAAAGCCAGCATGTTATGGATCTGCTCATGCTATATATCTAATTTCTATCTTATTTTTCTATGTTATCTGTATTCTAAATCCATATTTGTCTTTTTTTTTTTTTTTTTACTTAATTCAGACCTGTAGAGCTGGTGCTAGCAGACCAGTTTAGAAATGTCTGTCGTGTGAATTTACAGAAAAAGAATCTCATGTCTTTCAGTGATTTAATATTCCTTCCTAATGTCAAGGTAGGTTCATGACACAGTCATTTCTATTTTTCATAATAATATTAATGATAAACTAAACTATTTTCCTTTGATTGAAAATACAGCCTTTAATCTCCTTTAATAGCCTGTTGTTCATGGGTTTTTGTAACAACAGCAATCAATCAGCACAAAGCTGACTGCAACCACTGTTTCAGTTTTACAGTATTGTTGCAATAATCTGATCCAAAATCAATGAATTGCACCAGACTTTTTAAAGCACTTTAAACTGACCAGTCATCTTTCTAAAGATCAAATTGCTGAATCAGAAAAATGTAATTGGCAGTTCTGCTAATGTGTTAGCAAAGAAACATTTTTTTGATTAATTATGTTTCCTTTTTACAGGTGTTGTGTCTGAACTACAATCACACTGAATCAATTCTGCCTGGACAAAAGGTCCCAAATCAGGTAACAAATATGCAGCAGCTGTACTGAAAGGTGGGCTCTCATGGCTATGGACAGGAAGGACTTGCCAAAGAAAGCAGGTACCATCAGCTTTTAAAGTATATTTTTATCTCTCCTTTTTTTATCCTCCACTGAGGAGAAAAGAGGTGTCTTCAGAGTCAGTAGCTTTGGAGCTCCCTTTTTTTCCCCCTCCTAGCTTGAAGAAACCCAGTACATTTTTTTGTTTGCTGTTTTGCATACATATGGTATGTGTGGCATCATCTAGTTGGCTTTTCTTTCCTAAGTTCTTTGTGAACAATTTTTTAGGCCATTTCTTCATCAAATTAACTATACCAGGCTGCTATCATCTGTTCTTTGGATCCTATCACATAGGTGGTTAGGCATACATTGAAGTTTTTTCACCTTCCTCCAGAGGATTTCATTTTGAGTAAAGGAGCCACTTACCTCTCTCTGGCTGCTGATTTGATCTGTGAAAGCGTGGACATGTATCTCTGATCAGACTGGTCATGATATTCTGTTTTCATTCTTTGCTTAAATTTGTACAGCATTACGCTAAAAAAATTTTAGACATATATTCAGACAGTGGGGAATATACTGAGATAGTATTTCATTCCCTTGAGCCTGATCATGTGAGAATTCAGCTGCCTTACTCTGTATAGTATTCTGATGGCAGTCACAGCCCCTTGTTAGAATCAATGAGTTCAGCTAATTCAGACTGTAGTACTTTTTATGAGCATAAAGGAGGATTTTGTATATTCATCTAAAGTTTTCTGAAATGTTATGTGCAGTTTAATCAGCCATTCGTCCTGCTATCAAACCTCCTTTTCTTTACTCATTTCATAAGTGATATTCTTTTTGTCATCCTCTGAAGGAGATGGTTGTACTTCTTCCTTTTTCCATCAATGTTAGATCTGCCTGTGTTCTAAAGAGCATTTTCAAATTACCTTTCAGTTTGCATTTCTCATCTGTGCACTCTTTCAGGAGTGAAACTTTTGGAACCTGTCAGGATTCGTTTACTTCTTTCTGCATGGAGAAGGCAACATCCATAGTCAAATTCAGTTTTATCATATCAGACAAGTCTTGCAGAGTCACCATGCAGAGCTCCTGCCGCGATTGAGAGACGGAGACCCAGCTCGATGCAAGTCAGGATCCACTTTATTGAGCACAACAACCGATTTTATATTCCAAACAGACAAAGAGAGACATGTGTTTTAAGCTGATTGGCACAATGGTTAATCACCTAATACATATTACAAAAGTTGAGCTCATGATTGGCTAACGTCTAAGGTCAGCTTGACTTTTTCTGCAGTTAATTTTCTGCTAGCTCACAGCATTCTTCCTCTTTTTTAACTTCTACTCCTACATCCTGTTTCTATAGCACATGCTTATCTTTAGTTACGAAACCAGCCCTCCAGGAATAAATCGTCCTTGGCTCCAGGGTTGTGACAGTCTGTTTACAGATTGTGCAAGTTACGAGACGCTAAGTTGAGCACGTCCTTCCTAATCAGCTCTGTCTCGCTGCTAGAAGGAGAGACCAGGCTGCCCCCGACATCTCCCCCTTCTTGTTGCACAACAAGGATCCTTTTCACTGAGCTGGCTATCAGGTTCTGCACACACTGCAAAAAACAGGGTAAACAAAGTAACAAAAGAATGAAAACGACTAAAGCATACACAATCATTTTTACAAGGCTTCTCAACCATCCTGATAGGCCCCAGCCTCCAAACAGTTTATCCAGCCAATCCCAACTATCTTCTTGGTTAGCGTGAATTGACTCAGAATGATCTGAAAGATTCATACAACACATACCGTCAAAATCCTCACAACCATGACCTTGAGCTAAAAGTAAAAAATCTATAGCGGCCCTATTTTGTAATGTAGCATGGCGAACGCTATCCACATCTAATAAGAGACCAGACAGTGCCTGACTTGTAGCGTTAGTTTGTTTTGCAAGCCAGCAGCCTAGTTTGTCTAGAGTTGCTAAAGCTCTGCCAGCAGCAGCTCCGGGCAGGAACAACGAGGCTGCAAAACGCTGACTGAAAGACCAAAAATCCACTTTTTCGCACAAGTATAACATTCACACAAAACCCAAGGGTCACAGTTTTCACAGTTTTCACATGAACCACAGGTAATTTCTGCAATGGACAGTTCTCAATACTTATTCATGTAATTCCTTCTTCAGTTGTGATGTTTCCGGGCAGTTCTTCTGTCTGCTGTCCAAAATTCTGATTGGAGCACTCCGGTCCCTCTCCAGTTGGTTGTGGCAGGGGTTCACGAAAAGGTCGTACGCTCTTCGCGGGAATCCATCTAGGCCCCTTCTCTGTAGAAACACAAGCATAACCTCTACCCCATGTAATAAGGGGATAAGGTCCCATGACTGTACCTGTTTCTGGATCTCGGATCAGCACGGGCGGCTTGATTTGCAGTTCGAGCGAAGCATTCGTATTAAAATGACGGACTATGGGAGGATTACTGTCTATCAAAGAACAATTCAGAAAATTAAAAACATATAAAGCTTTCTGAAGACGTTCCTCGGGGGTAACGGTCCCTACTCCCCCTTTTTGTTGTTGCAATAAGCGTTTTAGAGACTGATGAGAGCGTTCAATTAAGGATTGGCCCGTGGGGGAATGAGGGATACCCGTAATGTGGTTGATCCCCCAAGAACTCAAAAACTTTTTAATTGCAGTTGAAATATATGCAGGGCCATTGTCAGTTTTAATTTGAGAAGGGTATGCCTAAAGTGGCAAAAGCACGCAGCAGATGTCGTTGAACATCGCGCGCCTTTTCGCCAGTATGACAAGAGGCAAATAATGCCCCAGAAAAGGTATCAATAGAGGAGTGAATATATTTTAAGTGACCAAACTCCGAAAAATGAGTGACAGTCGGTTTGCCAAAGTTGCAAACTTTGCAATCCTCTAGGATTAACTCCTCCTGCTATTGTAGGAAATGAGTGCCTTTGACAATCGGGACACACAGCAACTATACTGGTTGCCTGCTGAGTAGTAAGGCCAAATTGTCGCTTAAGCCCACCAGCATTTTGGTGAAAGAAAGCGTGGCTGAGTTTTGCTTGTGCTATGCGGTCTGGCAGTACCTGTACCGGTAATGTAAGCAGGTCAGCTTGTCGGTTCCCTTCCGCTATAAAGCCAGGTAAGGAAGTGTGAGATCTGACATGCATAATGAAATAGGAATGAATGCGAGAATCTAAAAGAAAAATAAGCTCCTGTAACAAAGCAAATAATGCAAAATGTGAGACATTTCGTAACACAGACGCCTCAGCTCGTTCAACAATCCCTGCAACATAAGCTGAATCAGTGATGATATTAAGCGGTGTAGACCATTTTCTAAAGGCTCGGACGACGGCAGTCAGTTCCACGATTTGGGGGGAACCCGGCACTGTCTTTATATCCGATTCCCATTGTTTGCGCTGGTCGTCCCACCAGAGGATAACAGATTTGTGGGACTTCCCAGATCCATCTGTAAAAACAGTAAGAGCTTGCAAAGGTTGGTCACTCCTCTTTGGTCTAGGTACAAGCTGGAAATTAGCATTAAACAATTTATGAGAAGGTGGGTGAGAAGTGAGTTGGCCTGTATAACCAGCTATCGCTATACTGAAGGCTTCCGATTGTTGGTGAAGCCACTGCAAATAATCACTGACCATAGGCAAATAAATACAAGTGAAGTCCATTCCAGACAACATTAACAAGCGCCGCCTGGCACGGACAATCAAGGATGCAAACATTTCATGCTGTGTTGAGATGGTTTTCGTGGGTTGATTCGGTAAAAATACCCATTCAATGATAAGCAACGGGTCAGACTCCTGCAAGTCCCATTGAAATATCAAGGCATGAGGCTGTCGAGCAGGATTCAAAATGATTAAAAGGAAAGGTAACTCAGGGGCATATCGATGTGCCTGTCTTAAGGTAATAGCTGTAGCAACTTTTTGTAAGGAATCAACAGCTGCAGGGTTGAGAGCAGCGAGGGGAACATAAGTCTGTGCTCCCCTTAAGCAGGTCGAATAAAGGACTTAAATCTGCATTGGAAATTCCTAGCAAAGGTCGGACCCAATTAATTGTTCCCAACAACTTCTGCACATCATGCAAAGTCCTCACATCTGCTTGAATTAGTAAAGGCTGTGGGACTATAGTTTGAGCCCGTATGCGCCAGCCTAGATATTTCCATGGTGGTATTTTCTGAACCTTTTCCGGCGCAACACAAAGACCTGCTGAATTAACAGCAGTTATGACAAGGGCTACAGCTTCCTCCATGACTTCGTGATGTTGTGCTGCCACTAGAATATCATCCATATAATGGTACAATAAAACGCAGGGCATCTTTGTTCTAACAGGGCTAAGGACCTTGGCTACATACCATTGGCATATTGTGGGACTGTTTTTCATTCCTTGTGGTAGCACAACCCACTGATATCTCTGCAATGGAGCTTGCATGTTGACGCTTGGAACTGAAAAAGCAAATTTAGGAGAATCTTCTGGATGCAAAGGGATATTAAAAAAGCAGTCCTTGAGGTCAATGACTGTCAGAGACCAGTCCCGGGGGATCATTGTGGGAGAAGGGAGCCCTGGTTGCAGGGCTCCCATGTCTTCCATAGCGTCATTAATTTTTCTGAGGTCATGGAGCAAGCGCCACTTGCCAGTTTGTTTTTTAATCACAAAAACAGGTGAATTCCAGGGGCTTACAGAGGGCACAACATGTCTTTTGGATAACTGTTCATCAACTAATTCTTCCAGGGCGCGAAGCTTTTCTAGCGGCAGGGGCCATTGATCCACCCAGACAGGGGTATTAGTTTTCCAGGTTAATTTCAGGGTGTCGCGCACCTCAATGGCCCCTCCTAAAAATGCGTTTGAATAGCCATTCCCCATTGTGACAGTACATCACGTCCCCATAAGATCATAGGCACAGGTAGCACAAAGGGCTTAACAGAGGCTACATGCCCCTCCGGGCCCAGTATCTGAATGAGCTCTAGGCTCTGGTGACTATTTCCAGCACCTCCAATCCCTGCTAAGGTCTGAGAAACATTGGCCAGAGGCCATTGTGGGGGCCATTTAGCCTGGGAGATCACCGTAACATCGGCCCCTGTGTCAATGATCCCATTCAATATCACCCGCTGTTCCCTGCGGATAAGAGTACATTGATATACGGGCCGTTTTTGTGAAATAGACTGTACCCACAAAATTTGCGGGTCACCAGTTGACCCAAAGCCCCCTTTCCTTTGTTGAGGTTGGGCAACAATGGGGGATTCCGTTCCTTTAGGTATTAAAATCAACTGCGCTATACGACTGCCCTTAGGTATAGTGCAGGGAGGGAACGGGGTCCATGCCATAATTTTAATTTCATTGGTACTATCAGAATCAATAACCCCTGGTAATACAAAGAGTCCCGACAGGGTCGTAGAAGACCTCCCCAGTAATAACGCTTGTGTATTTGGGGGCAGAGGCCCCGTAATGTTTGTTGACAATAAATGAACCGAGGAGTCAAGTACCGTTACTGTGTGGCTGGTTGCCAGGTCCAGGCCGGCGCTCCCGGCTGTGGCTGGGTGAAGGCTTGAGGCACTGTCGTATCCCTCTGCGGCAGCGGAGGGGTTAACTGCGGAACTTGTGTCTGCACGCGCCGCCGTCCCGCGCTCCGCGATCGGTTTCCCTGTATCGGTTGTCCCTGGGAGTCATACTTAGAGCGACATTGGTTAGCATAATGGCGCCCCTTCCTGCACCTAGGGCAAATCCCCGGTGCCTGGGGCTTGGCTCCAGATGTAGCAGCTATACAATTCTTTTTCAAATGGCCAGGTTTGCCACAGCCATAACAAACCCCGGGGCCAGCTGTGCCACGCATGGCAGCAAAAGCAGCGGCCATCGCTTCAAATTTATGATCTACGGTGCCAATTCTATTACAGGCTTCCACCATTTCCACGAGAGAGGGATTAGGGTTCGGAAGAGATTTCAATAACTTCTTACAATCTGCATTGGCATTTTCCACTGCTAACTTTAACAACAGAATTTCCCGCGCTTCCACATTATCTATCTGGCGCTCTAAGGCTTGTTTTAATCTGTCAATAAATTGCATATAAGGCTCCCGAGGTTCCTGAGTAATGGTAGTAAAAGCCTTTTGTGGCTTTTGAGAGTCAGGTATTTTAAGCAGAGCCTTCTTTGCTTCATTCCGCGTGGCTTCAAGCGCTTCCCGCGGAATATCCCTCGCCTGAGCCACCGGGTCCGTGTGCTGGCCAGTACCCGTAAGATGCTCAATAGTTAATGCAGCAAGAGCAGGATTATTATGGCCCACATAGGTTAGTAAAAGCGTTTGGAGTCCCCTCCCCCATTGCGACTCCCATAGCGAATACTGTGTAGGGGTTAACAGCAACTGTGCGAGAGATTTGAGATCATGCGGAGTCATGACATAAGAATCTAAGACAGAAGATAACAAACTCGCGAAATATGGGGAAGAGAGGCCATGCTCGGTAACAGTACGGCGCAACTCCTTCACCACAGGGAAGGATAATGCCTCCCATTGAGCCCCCCTCCCCTGATAGATAACAGGAGCGACTATTTTTTTCGCAAGTTGCAAATCCCCCTCTTTCAGAGCCTGTCGTTTAATATTCGCCCATACGTCCTGGGGATCGGGAGGGTAGAGATCTGGCTCCTCCTCTGGGTCCACTGGTCCTGGATCAAAAGGATCATCCTCTGAGGGGTACTCGGCGGCACCCACCTCAGGAGGCTCCGAGGTCTTCTTATCGACCGGGAGACCTTTCCTGTCTTTAGTGTCTTTATTCTTAACAGTCTCCTGAGCCTTCAGAGTTTCAAAGATAGTCCTCCACCACGGGAGCATGCGCTGTGCTTCAGCATTCCCTGTTGTAGCCGCGTCCCACAGCTTAACTCCCACATCATCCCAAAGCTCAGTCGTAAATATACTGCAAGCAGTTACAGTGGGGATTTTCACTTGTACCCACTTGAGCATAGCCTTAAGATCTTGCCCAGAGAGATTCTTTTCATGCTCTTTAAGAAGGGCTTTCATAAGTTCGTATACGTCCCTCTCTGGGGAAGAGACCTGACTTCCCATGTCTCCCACAGCTCACCTCACAACTCCGGAGGGATTCTTAATGCCGGCTCCTGCTTCCTTTCAGCAGCTCATTCAAAGTTCTGTGGGACTCGCAGCATGCCACGCAGATAGGTGGTTCTTAATCCCGAATCACGTCGGGGTCACCAATTTGCCGCGATTGAGAGACGGAGACCCAGCTCGATGCAAGGCAGGATCCACTTTATTGAACACAACAACCGCTTTTATATTCCAAACAGACAAAGAGAGACGTGTGTTTTAAGCTGATTGGCACAATGGTTAATCACCTAATACATATTGCAAAAATTGAGCTCATAATTGGCTAATGTCTAAGGTCAGCTTGACTTTTTCTGCAGTTAATTTTCTGCTAGCTCACAGCATTCTTCCTCTTGTTTAACTTCTACTCCTACATCTTGTTTCTATAGCACAAGCTTATCTTTAGTTACGAAACCAGCCCTCCAGGAATAAATCGTCCTTGGCTTCAGGGTTGTGACAGTCTGTTTACAGATTGTGCAAGTTACGAGACGCCAAGTTGAGCACGTCCTTCCTAATCAGCTCTGTCTCGCTGCTAGAAGGAGAGACCAGGCTGCCCCCGACAAGCTCCCTCTATACACTGGTCAAGTTTTATAAAAGTAACAGTGACAGTGCATCAGAGAATCCTGCAAAACCTAGTTGTGTGAATACTTCTCAAGGCTTCACCCAGCACTTCTTGTCTCCATTCTTTGCATATGCTCGGCATCTGGAGTGTGGGAAAAACATGAATTTGTTTTCTGATTTTTCTGGGGAAAAGGGATATTGGCCAAAGCACACATGGATATGGGATGTTTGGGGTTCCATCGTAGTGTGGCAAATTTCTGTGCTCATTTTGCTTATCTGCTTCTTCATGAGCAATTAACATTCTTATACAGACTAGGGGCTCAGAAAGGACTTGAAACAGTTGTTCAGTAACTGTAGGAATGCCCCTTTTGTTGGTGGGAGGGAATTTTTTAAACTAATGTCTTCTAGATTCTTCCCCTTTCCCTTTTTAAATATAGATAAGTTTTGGCTTTCTTGCAAGCCACTGAAACTTTGCTGATGTTCCCAAATGTAGTTCAAGTCAACATAAATATTCCATGATGTTTCTCAGCCAGCTTTTTCAAATGTGACTTACTCAGAGTCACTGATTTAAACATGTCAGATATTAGCTCAATAGCTTCTACTTAACCTTTACGTTAATACTGGAATGCAAATTATTTCATTATTACTGCGTGGTATGAATAACTTGCCCTTTTTTTTCCCCACAAATGCAGCACAAAAGTATCTAGTGAAAAACTATACTTCATCTCAGTTTTATTGATACTTCTACCAACTTCAGCTAGTAATGATCCAATACCAGGATTACTTTTGTTATTGATATACATTCAAAATCTTTCTTATTGTTCTTAATACTACAAGTCATTAATGTCCTCCTATGTGCATTTGCTTTTTCCATCATTTTTTTGCATGTTTTTACTTCTTCTTTACTACTGTCAATTTCTTTATTTTTTCCATTTATCACAGTTCCTTTTAGTTTCCCACTAAGTGAATACTGTCTTTTTAATGACTGATGCCTTCTTTCTCAATTGTGAGATATGTTAGGAACAAAAATGTTCTTAAACCCTCCCCAGATCCTCTTGACACTTTCTTTGGAAGTTGAATTAGCTTTAATTTTTGTAGCCTTGTGAGATAAACCTGTGTAAATAATAAAATATACATATTACATACTTACACATCTTAACACAAATTAATATTACATATTCACATATAGTTTGGATATTGTTTTGTTTGTGATGTGTGAATTTAATCAAATCACTGGCTGCTAAGCAACCACCAATATTTAGTGTTTTTATGGAAATTGAGGTTGCTAAGCACATTGTTTCATTAGCTGGGTCATAAGGAAGAAGCAAAGCTAAAATTAGAACCTTTTTTTCCGTCTCTTTCTTATGTTAGTTCATGCTATGTAATTACAGGTCTGACATAACAGAAATTAACCTTTTACAAACAAATTAGTAGAGCAGTTCATGTTATTTTATTTTGCCCTATTGTCCTGTTGTGAGAATACATGCAAAGGATGACATAAGTATTTTACTAAATTTAGCAGCGGTTTACAGCTGCTTTCTTTTCATGTTCTCAGACTTCTGTGAGCAGAGAGGGATTTTTTTATTATTTGATTTCCATGGTCTCGATCCAGAAAACTTGATCTAGCTTCCACCGAATAGAAGTTTATATATGGAGGATTTCTACCTCAAAATAGTGGATTTGTTTCATTTTTCATCATATTTTTTTAACATATACAGGTGTAATTCCTATGAAACCTTTTCCAGTGATTAATGAAATTGCAGTCTTCCATATATTCCCCTCATACATTTTTGGGGGGGGGGAGGCAGGAAATGCTGAAGTTCTTTTGCCCAAAGAAAATTGTGACATCATACTCTTGTTTGATTTATTCATTTAGAGATGCAGAATTTGGAGAAAACTTGCCACTCTTAATGCAGAATTGGAAGATTTTTATCTAGGATATAATGGAATAACTAACATGACCCAGCTACATCTTGGTAGGCTGAAAAACTTGAAACTTCTGTTTTTGCAGAGTAGGTGGTAGCAGCTTTTCTGTACATTCATTCAAGCATTTTACAGTACTTTCCTTATGTCCAATCTTTACGCTATGCCTTGAATTTATGAGGTACAGACTTCTCTGGTCTTGACCCCAATAAGAATGATATCCTAGCTTTAATTCTTGCCCTGGTGCCAAGATCCTTCAGATATTGAACACTGAAATTCTTCCATACAGCACTGCTGTGCCTCACTTGTCTTCTACAAGACAAGGGCAGAGCAAGGTAACCAGCATGTGGAAGATATATTTGTCAACTGATGGCCAGCAGCAGGTTCCACACTGAGGGAATTTCCTTCTCATTATAAGCAATACTGACAATAATAATTAACCTAAGTTTTGTTCCTCAAGATTCCCAGATTTTAATTAGGAAGATATTTTGGCTTAAGTAGAGATAGCAGATAGATGAAATCAAACACACTGTTGTCCAGTGTCACTGAAGTGGTCCAAAACAACATACAAGTAATTCAGAAAGTTCATGAGCTGCTTTTGCTTAAGATAAATTTTTGCTGGAAAGGAATCCCAATCCATTAAAGATGATCCCATGCATTTACTCTTGCTATCTTAGGAAACTACATCAGCCAGACTGAAGCACTTGAATGTCTCCAATATCTACAAGAGTTGGTATTGGACCATAACTGCTTTAAAATGATTTCACAAGATTTCCTTGCTAGGCTTCTGACTCTTCATCTGGAGTAAAACCAAGTACAAGAACCTAACAGTTTACAATCTTTGGTAGAATTACAGAAATTCTTTCTGGACTTCAAGAGAATTCAAGTACAGTAGGTTTTTGTTAATGCTGTAGATTCAGTGAGCTAAATATGGTGGACTGTTTTCAGACAAAATTCCCATTGTCTTCTGTGGAGTAAAATTACCAGTGTTTTCCCACAAACATATATACCAGTTGAAAGACTTTTGAGAACTCCTGACATATGGTATATTTTTTAACTTTTGGACAGAAATCATCTGAGCTAGAAAAACTTCAAGTTATTCCTAGTCTTAAGGTGCTCTTAAAACATGGAAATCCAGTGAGTATATTTTTTTGCATTGTTAAATAAACCAGATGTATATTTCACTTTGTACACTGAATACTAATCTTTGTAATAATTAAAACTTTTAAGAATTTCTCCAGAACCAGGTCACTCCTAGAGTATCTGCTATTATTGTTTTAAGGTTGAAAGCTTCACAGTATGCATAATGATCACGTTGCCTCACCGTGCCTGCCTCAGTGCCATACTGTGATCAGAAGGCACTCATTCTTCAGTATACTGTGGTATAGTGCTGCAAGATAAATTTAAAATGTATGTGTGTTGCATGAGTATGTTGCAGTGAGGGACTGTTCTTTCAGTAGTCCAAAGCAGGTCAGATCTGTGAATAAAGGTCAAAGAATGTTCAAAGATTTTTGAAATACTTGGTTTTATTTTTAAAATGGCTTAATAGCAATCTTTTTTGTTGTTTTGCACATCACTCTTGAAAGAGTCCCGATGAGAAATTTCAAGTTTCTTTTTTTCCAGACATGCTTCTGTTTTTCAGTGTAGTACTGCTGGTTTGCCTTTTTTATCCTTGGGAACAAACTATAAGATCACAGTAAAAAAGACTCTTGCCTTTCTGATTTTATGAATACCAAGCTATGGGACAAAAAGAAGCTAACACTTTCACAGAGTAGAAGAGGCTTTCCTGGTAACCATAAAAGGACAAGTGGAACTCAGTGAGGCCAAGTGGTTGAATAAAGTCTGTAGGATCTGAGCTTCATGTATTTAAGCATCTTAGCACTGCTGAGCTTTAAAGTAGCATCAAACATAAATGGAAACAAAAATACATTTTTCATTGTTAGTTTTGAGAAAAAATGTGGCTTTCTAAATTTCAGTTGAAAATATAGTTCATATGGCATGTTTTTAGAAATGGACCCTTGAAGATTAAGTGGAAAGCCCAAGATCTAAATGTCCCTTAACTTCCTTTTACCATAAACCTGCAGTGTCTGGTCTAAAGCAACATCTAGAAACACAGGGGAGAGGGAAGGCAGCGGTAGATTGGAGCAGTAATGCATACAGTAGTCATGCATTCTGTTTTCAGTGGTTGACTCAAAATAATATTTTTGCTCTTATGACATTTTTTAAACCAACATGCAAACGGTTATATGGATTCAGAAATGAACTTCTGAGATGGATGACGAAATGGCAGGGGAATGTCAAGCAAATTGAATGTTAGTAATGGCAAGAACAGGCATGTGCTTCACAAGGAAAAAAGCCAAACAGATTCCTCTTGGGAAATTGCTATTCCAGGGTTTCCTTCTTTAGAATTGTAGTCCTAGACTTTCTCCTGAAGGGCATCAAGACAGTAGGCCCAGCTGTCTTGTATGCAGTGTGGCATTAAGAAGTATATCTCTCCATGTATTAGCAAGCATCAGTTAGTACCCCCCACTATGGTCCACACTTCAGAGAACTTATCACCTGTCATTTTCAATAACGCTGTATATTAAAAGAGAAAAATATTGCTAGCCTTTCCTGTCTGCAGCACAGCCTGCATCTCAACACTTGGCCTTCTGTAAGGCTGGTTCCTAGTCACGTCCCTGCGGAGCGCACAGTACAAAGTGACAGTTATTCATGGGCACTTGAAAAACGTTGCTCAAAGGTATATAGTCATTTATGCACAGTTTGGATTCTGAACAGAAGTACCCATACTTTCACAGGATATCTGTGTCTGATAAGTTTTTATAAAAGTTTCAGAGGAACCTGATTCTCTTACTTTATAATGTTACTGCATAATACAGTATCACAGCAGTGGTGTATCAATGTTCTAAACTAATTTCAAGTGCAATATTCACTGCTATAACTTCTCTGTTCATCTCTTCTTGGTAGATGGGATTCTTGACACACCTAATTCCAATTTTTCTTCTTGCTGATCGTTACCTTCATAATTATTTTCAACTATGATTTGATAATGCAATATCACATTGTCTTGTCTTGAAAGATACTCTCTTGTACCATCTGTATCCACTGGAAGTACTTTAACACAGATAATATTCTTTATTTGTTGCTCTGCCCATAAGTTTCATGCTTTATGTTAGCTCTCACTGTCCCTCCTCACCAAAGTAACTTGCCTCTGTCACTGTGGTTCAGCCCTGTCTACCCTCATGCTTCTTGTTGAGAGTGGGGTCATGTCCTTGTGCTTTGAGATGCAGTTGCATACCACGAGCTGACCACTGTCACTGGTCATCAACACCCCTTTTTCACTGCTATATTTCTACCTTTGCTACTCCTTTTGTTGAGAAGGGGCTCCCTGGACAAGCTACCTTGTTTTCCTCTAGATCTTGCCCTGAAATTCTCACTGACTATGAAATCAAAAGAAAGCTTCACAGCAGTTTGGCATCTGCTGTGACCATTGTCTCTCACACTGACCAGTTTTATTGCTCATTATTTTCTTGTGCTCACCCATCTGTCAGTCTGTCTGCATTCATTGGGTGTGCCTCATCTCATTTTACAGTATAAATTCACTGGAACAGAGATTTTTAGTAGGATTCACTGTTAGGTTTCCTAAATACAAGAATAACAATAACAGCAGCAAAGAATCAGAGAGGAGGCTGGCCCAGCACGTGTCTCCTGCGAACAGAAGGTTCATTGTCTCTGTGGTTCTATTTATCACTAAGACCCCACTCACTGAAAGAGTTTGTTGTCTCACAGCAGACCTGTATTTTCTGTATCACAGCATGAAACTTCTCTGGAGATTTGTTTGATGAACAGAATTCTTTCCTTCCAGCTCAGAAGACTGCAGTAGGCATTTTAGCCATCGGTTTCCCAAGAAGGACCAATAGAGTAATGAGGAGATCTAGAGTCTGTTCCCACTCTGGCATGTGCAAGCCAGTTCTCTCTTCATGTCTCAGTTTCATATTTATGGAGCACAGAAACAGGTATTTTACTTACATATCTGAAACATAAGTACAGAGGATGATGAGAAGCATCCATACGTGATCAGGTTTATTCTCCTGTCCTCATCAACCTGTCCAGCTTTTCCTCAAACCTCTTTGTTTTATAGATAAGAAGCTCTACCAGTAGACACCTACACCACAAGCTTATTCTACTCCAATTGTCTCATTAAATTCTTTACTGCCATGATGCTGTCACAATGCCCAACCACATCTAAACTGTTGTTGAACTGCAAATACTACTTGATGCCCAGAATCTAACCCCTCTGCTGTTACCTTATGCTTCCCACACCTATGGGTTATGTCCTTACTGTGTCTTTGTATAAATTTCTTGTCATAAATATTTTATTGTATTGAGAAAGCCCTTTAGCAGGATAGTGGCTTCTAGGTATAACCAGAATAAATGCTATTATTTGATACTGATATTAGTGGTATCTTCACTGTTTTGCCAAATCTCAGTCTTCACATTGATAGTAGGTCACTGCTGAAACCAGATGGGTTAAAATCCATGTACACTTGGGTTCTGTCTCGGAACTTCATCTGTCAAAAATGTGTTATCGCAGATCTCTGTCGGGCTACAATAATATCTCTGTTTGCAGACTTGGAGCCTTAGTACGTTAGTGAAACACATTTTCCCACTTGAAGCCACGATGTATGTATACAGAGTTCAAAGCACTTTTGGACTGAGTAATTTCACGTGTAAATGTTTTATTTCAAAACTGACCTGTGCTTTTATTCATTGGACATCACTTAAATAAAAACATGGAAGAATGAGTAAAGCAATAGAAGCATATTAAGACTATATCTTTAGAGAAATCTCTGTTTTATATTCAGGTTCAGTGAAGATGTTATACCTCATTAGCTACAACAGAACTGAGCCATTTTCTCATTAGATCATTCAAGTGGAACAACACAAAAGATTTTTCAAGTTTGTCAGTTGCATTTTAGTTGTGCTTTTTAAAGTGCTTGTTAGAAAGCAAGAATTGAAACCGTATGGTGTTGTTTAAGCTTGAAAAGTGCTTTTGATCTTCAGCTTCAAAAGAGATTTTCCCAGCAGAAAGTAGGCTAGCCCTTTATTTAGTACTGGTTTAGGTAGACACCAGAACACACTGTACGTAATAGTATTTTATTTTTTCATGCTGTTGATTAAATCTCTTTTAACATTGTCACTGCTGAATTAGAGATGATTTACAGGAGGCAGTCAATCACCGTTGTCATTGTACTGTACGCAGTTTAACAAAATTAACCAATCAGCACAGACTGGCACATGGCCTTAAATCAGTTGCTACAAGACGTGGTGGTCCCAGACTGAGACTTATGAACTGCTGAGTATTTTAAAATATTATAAAGATCCTTCCAAAGCTGAATTTTTATCAGCCTTCTGCCAGCCGTGCCCTGTAATGGCTTTACATTTGAAAATGTATTGTTTTCCATCTTTCTTGGTAAAAACAGCTTCGGTGCATTACAATAGCTTTTTTCTTGAAGTGGTCACAATTTTGTTTCAAGCATTTGAGTTTCGTAGCTACTGGTGCTTTTTAATGTACACAACTTGCATAGCTTCTGCGCTTGACAGGTTATCTAGAAAGTGCAATAATCAAATCTCAAGCTCATAACAGTAGTTTGAAGAACTGATCCTACAGTTCTTAACTCACAAAAAGTTGATCGTTACTGTTTATATTGCTGCAAAAAGACATTTCTATAATAAAGACCAAGATATGTAATCTTTATTTTTGTTTTTCTTATGAAGAGTTCTTCAGTTGCAGACTCTCCAGATGACTCTGGACTTCCTGCACTGCCAGCAAACTTTACAAGACATAATCCTCTCAGAATAACAAATTGAAATCTGAATGAAAACCTTAACCATTTATTTGGCTCTGATCTTATATTTGATCATGAGCTTGAAGAGCCTCTACTGAATAAGTCAAATGAGAGTAAGCATAAACAAACAGGATTGCGTATTCCTGAATACTGAACATAGATATATTCCCTCATGCTACATATTATATGGCCATATAAACATTTTTAACAAGGACATTTCTATCTTTCTTGGGTATCTTGCAAGTCTGTAAATTTCTCACAACCTTCCCAGATCTAGTAAATGTGTTTTCTGGAGGAATACATATCTTTGTCAGTTCTTCACCCTAGGATGGATCTTCAGATTTAGTCTGAATCATTGATAGGAGAATTAGTCTTTCAGCACTTTCAAAAGCTTTGGGTTTGATTGGTTGTTTTTTGGTTTGGTTTTGTTTTGTTTTTAATTTATTAACCAACTTCAGACTGTAAATTAAAGCTTTAACTATGCTAGGAACTGAAAGGAAGTGATGTAGCATTGTTCTGATGAGAAAAATTACAAAGAAGAAAAGAAGAATGAGTGCTGTATTTGATTGGCAGCTGGGGTGAGACTCTATAGGGAGAATATCCATGTTCTTTTTGTGTTACAGATAAGTCTAAGAACCCAGGAATTACAACAAATAATCTTTGAAGCATCCATGCAGAAAGAACTCTTAGGCAAGCCAAAGGAGCAGCAACTAATCTTCTAAACCATTTGGTGCATTAGAGCGCTACTTCTTGAATCAGGCAACTGCAGCAGGACAGCACAGAAAATATGGGCAGGTGAGGCTCTAACCAGCCCTAAACACTGCTGCTGCTTCTTTCCTTTTTTGGGGGAGTGCAACCAAAGCACTTCTCTTCAAACGTTACTTTTCTTTCTCTATATGCTGCCATATTTTCTTTACCTCAGTTTCAAGATCCACCAAAAATGTGTTTATTCTCTTCTGATAAAACTTGCAATGCACCTAAGAAAACATCTAGACAAAACTTAAAATTTTGCAACTAGAACAATGACTATACAGTAAAATGAAGCCAGCTGTTTAACAGAAATAAGCTGGTATCTCCCAACTCCTGGCTTAATCTTGTTCTATCACTAACTCAAGCCTTTCTGCTTAGTTTGTTTTTTTTTTGTTGTTGTTGTTTGTTTTCTGTTGCTTGAAGTCTAGTCTTGTTTACTAATTAAAATATTAAATATAGAAGCAGAAATGTAAGGGTAAAGCTGTTAGTGTGGCTAAACAGATCTAATAATTGTGACACAAACAGCAGTATCTTGCTATTGCTCACTGCCAGCAGCTGGAATGAGCCAGTGTGTGATTGAATGTTACACCAACATTTCTTACTGTATCAAACATTTTTCCACAACAGGGAAGTGAACAAATGGGTCCGGCACTACTAGTATTTACCTAAAGAGATTCCCTGATATCAGTTGTGTAAGTCAGTGAGGTGATTCTTTCTGGAATCAGTGTGCATAGTTGCTTTTTGTGTAAGATTAGTTCCAAACATTTTTCTTAGGCAAAGTTCATACAGTGTTATACCTATACAGCATGATATAAGGTATGATTTTTCTTTACTAGAAAAATGTGTTTACATCTGTAGGCCATATTTGCCATTGGAAAAGAGAGAGCTAATTAAAGGCTTGTGCTGTCAGAGGTTTCTCCACAATCATCTTCAACTGGTCTTTACACATGCACAGATGTGATAAGAGTAGTTTCCAAAGGAACATAAGTATTTGGTGACTGATACCTCCAAACCTCTAGAGGGGAAATGCTTTAAATAAACCTTATTTAAACCAAGTAGTGCCATGCTGACTTAGATGTTGCAGATGAGAAAGCAGTGATCAGAGGAAGTGATACTACTCAGCATGACTGATTTATACAGAACTAACTTCCCCTAGCCTTGATCTAAGCGGGCCTCTCACAGAACTGGATTCTACTTTAACTGCATACTGTCCAGGATCCTTTCACAGGCAGTTCTCTTTTACTTAAAAAGTGGGCTTTTCTGGCTTAAAGCAGCATGTATGACTTTTCCCCCCTGTTATAGATTGATCCTCACACAATAAAAAAAAACAACACATGGAGACCATATATTTTTAAATAATGTAGATGAGATGCTGTAGCAAGCACCCTCTATCAATAGCTATCCTCACATTTCCTCACCTGTCATATGTGTTCTTTGATCTTTTCCCATTTCTCTCAGCCTGTTGTAACATTACAAAACTATGCATAGTGTCTGGATGTTTCCAATTTAATCTTACCTTTTATTAAATTCAACATGCTAAAATTAGAAGAACATTGCAAAGGCACCCAGATAGTAAAAATAAATAAATAAATAAATAAATAAATAATTCGTATCTGATTAAGCAACACTAGTCATGTCATCCCAGATTAGATGAAGTGATGCTTTAGGACAAATCAGGCCTTTTTTTAACCTTTCCCATCATGGCATCTCTTCAGGCAGAGTTAAACCTATTCAGGTGTCTTAACAGCCTAATTCTTACCTTACTGTGGTTAGATTTCTCTGAAGTTTTATCTTCACTAAACTTCTTAACTTAGATGATATTTGTAGCATCTCAGCATTTTACAGTTGTTACTGATATTCACTTACTAATTTCTACTTTTATTTTATTAATAATGAGAAATTCTGCGCACAACCCTAAAGGAAAAATGAAACAAGAATGCTGTTATGTGATACTTTTCATTATTTCTGTTTACAGGATCTGTGTTTAATCAGTACTTGTTTTTTGAACTTCAGGGAAGATTCACTGATACATCAAAGCAGGAAGAGTACAGTAAGCATTTAAGCTAAATTTATAGTTGCATTCCATCACCAGAAAACATATGAATGCACACATTTCTTCCTTAATCTTTGGAAGTCAAAGAGTTTGTAAGTTCAACTTTGACTCCATATCCATGTAGGAAGGAAGATCTTAGTTTCCTGAGTCCAAAAAGTTTTAACGTTGCTTCAGGTCTTTTGACAATGTTCTTACAATGCCCAAAGTCAGGCCAATGTCCTTTGTGCCATTGATACTCAAGGTAGCAAGCAGCCGTGACATTTCTTAGGACACCTAACATTCAATTAACAATTTTATGCTAGTGAGCCACTACAGTATGTGGAAATGTTGTATGAAAGTTGTCAGTGGAGACCAGGGTGAGTGGTTGGTGGATGCATATAAAGACTGTTACTCTTTGGAGTTAACTGAATTTTTGTCCTAGGTTTGGGTGTGACCTAGTTAATCATACCACTTGGTATGATTTTTATTACTAGGTTAAATTTACTGCCAACTAATTTATTCAAGTGCCGTCCATGTATTATATATATATATTTCCCCTGAAAGTTTAAAGCACGTGTATTTTTCCTTTGTTATGATCAGGAGGAGAAACAACCCACCCAGGAAGGCAAAGCTCTTAAAAGATGGAGTTTCACCTCATTTTATTTCAAAAAGTAACAGATGGATTTCCTTGAACTTTCCCTTTCTATTAGAGCTGGTAATGTGCTGTTTAATGTACGAAAGAAGGAGTCTGAATCCTTGCTTAATGAGCAAAACAACTTTGCTTTACCACTGGCGTCTCCACTATAGTCCCCTGCTTAAAACAGAACATTGCATTTGTTTGCCTTTCTGAATATTAAGATCTTCCAGGCTTCGTTTGGTTCAGTTTTAAATACTATAGTTATATTTCAACAGAAGGCAAATTCTACCAAAAATAAATTATTAAAAAAAGATAATTTGGACTCGAATGGAAACAACAGTGTTTTAACAGTGTTGGCTTTTTATCCTTTGATGGCACAAAGCAGTAGGCAGTCACTCCATCCATCAGCTGCTTGTAGATGAGAGTAATAATAAGATAATACGTTATTATCTTGCGGGTTCTTTCAGGTCACATTCTGGGACACATGCTCCCCAGTATTAGGTCAGTACTGTTTTCTTGTTACCACAATTGGAAGAGAGTTAAAAACTTCCTCTTTACACAGAGAAATCAACAAGTTAGAGTGGAGTTAAATATGCAACAGGATATTTATATTTCTCTGCTTGTCCTTTGTGATTCACCTGTTAGTATGGGCTATATGATAGTTAATTTCCGGTAGATTAAAACTAGTAATCTATTTAGGCCTCGCAGGGCTAACAGAGCAACACCTAGGTATGCTTTCAAATCTGATCCTAAGGGAATTCAGTTTTTCATCTTCCTTGTAAATAATCTCCTCTTCATAAAACAAACAAACAAAAAAAGATGTAAAAATGCTTGTAGAGGGATGTACTGAAGTACATGGTGAAATCTTGGCTTGTCTATATTAGCAGTTGATCTCCCAGTTAGTTAAGCAAAGTCCTGATTTCATCCATGAAGGGTACATAATAAAGTTATTGTCATGGGAATGCATGATAGGATTGAATATCATGTTACTAATGTATTAAATATGTATTATTATGATTATTACTTCTCTAAATGAATAGATATTTTTTAAAACAAAGTCTCTGTGGTTTGACTTGGAATTGTTTATAGCCTCTCCATACTAAATCGACCATAAGAGTCAAACAAACTGTGAAAATCAGAGAAATTCTGGGAAAAAAAATCTTCCTGAGGTCTTCTCCACAGACTTAAGTGGTGTTATTGAAGGGAGAATTTGGCCGTTTATATTTTTATTTTAATACAGTGGTTGTGAATGTATAATGAATATGAAATATCAGTTATGTAATGAAATTAGTTAACTCAGTGAAGCAACCATTTACACACATGCAGAATATCTGGATCCCGTGGGACTCAGAGATCCCTTTGGCTTGTTCTGTTTTCACTCACCCTGGTATAAATCAGGAATAAAATCTCAGAATTTAGTTGTCAAAAAGTCTGAATTCAGTATGATTTCTTCAGATTTGCACTGAAAAAAAAAGGGCAGAGACTGATCTCTCCACCTTTACTACACAGTGGTATAAAAGTTGGTCTTTTATCAGAGAGCTTTATGATCGGAATTAATTATTCTTCCTTTTCACTAAACTAGGAAAATATCATGGATTATATTATAATGAATTTTAATGTAAAGGTGAGGAAGAAAAAGTGTAAGTATGTCTCTGATCAAGGTTTTATGGTGGTAAATTTACTGTGCAAGATTTTGTTTTGCTGTTCAGAAATACAGCTTTATATAATCACAAAAATTGCCACTTCGCTATAAGAAACGCGCTTACTGTATCTATAGACCCTTTCTCATATATGTATATATACGTGTGTGTGTGTGTGTGTGAACTGATGCAGGGAATAGCAATGAAACTACATCTGAATGTAATTATGGACTTTATTATTCCATCTATTTTTTAAAAAATGCATTTCACTTCATATTGTATTTTTAGAAATAGAGTTTGGGGTATAGTGTGTAGGATTATATAAGGTTTTAAAAAATACACTGGTATATAAAATGATAAACATGTTACATACCTGCTGGTTTCTAATAAAATTATAAGTATCTAAAAAGTAAATGTTGATAACTTGCCATGTTACTAGGAAATTAAGTTCGTAGAAGACTTTAGAGTACTATCTCTAATATAAGAGCTTACTTCCAGACTTGATAAATTTTTCATAGCATTCGCTTCACATGTCAAGTCAAATTAAATTACTACACGAGTTACTGAGGGGTTTTAATTTAATAATTTGTGTTTCTATGATTAATTTGGAAGCTGTCACCAAATTTCTATGAATGACATCATTTTTACAATTAAGATATCATTATACTCATTTTATACATATTGGTTTTTTGTTTCTCCTAGGTGATTTGAAAGAGGGGTTAGTATTAATGATACTTCCAAGTAGATGACAGGCGGTAAGTGGGAAGATTGTTACCCATCCACAGACACGCTGTGGTCAGATCCCCTTTCTGGCTGGTCTTTGTCTTGCCTGCGGTTTGCAGGACAGCCACGAGGTGTCTTTGTTGTACTGCTGATTTTCTACATCAGGGCTACTAAAACATGCCATGAGTACACAAGGTAACAGAGACTCCCTCCTCCCTTCGGCCAGGTTATGGCAGCTTTGCACCAGAATAAATCAAAGATTTAAATCCCGTCCTTGAAATGTCAAGGCAAGGTTGCAGTGTTGCAGAGCTCAGCGTGGGTCTGTGAGGGCAGCACGGCCTTTGGGTCAGATTCATTTTGATTTGTGATTAATTCAGGGCACCCTGACGTCTTGGGAAAAGGTTCTGAGTGTAACTGGTTTGCGTTTTGTACAGACAACTTGGGTCCCGTTGCATCTAAAGGGCAGTGCTTGGCTGTCACCTGCTAGCAGTCAGGTTTGTCCATGGCAGGAGAGCTGGAGGGACCTGAGCAAGGACACGGTAGCGTCAGGGAAAACAGTTTGTACCTCTAAGGTGAGCCCAAAGGAGAGGGAAGCACGTGTGCAGCGATGGAGGCAGAGGAACAACACAAACCAGAAGATAGCCCCTTACGAGTGACCTGGTTGTAAAAGTAGTATGTGGAGGAAAAAGAAGAGTAGGACTGCTCGTGCAGCATGTGGTACACATGGCACTGTGTCGTTGGTCTCTGTACAAGGTCAGTCCCAGCCCTCCATGGGTAACAACGGAATTTCGAGGCAAGACTTAACAATTGGCCTTAACTAGGGATAAGGGGAGAAAAAAGGGATGAGAGTGAACTCAGACAGCTCTCTGCAGGCTGCTCAGTGCAGCTTTTTGCTCTTGCACTCTCTGTGTAATTTTGAACTCTGCAGAAAGCCCCTTGGATAATCCTGAGTAGAAATAACCTGTGCCTTAAAGCAGCCAAAGTTTTCTAAAGGACTTGGAGCTTCTGTGGCATGTTACCTCCATCTGAGATGGAGAGCATTGCTCTGCCAGCCTGCTACAGGTGAACAGCTTTCATTTTGATAGGCTGTAAAAACACAATGTGGTGAACATGAGATTAGAAATGTGTGTATGCCCTAGAGCTCTGCTTCTTTTTAATTCTCTGGATTTATTTATGCTTATGCATAATATTCTTTTGAATTTCCATCTCTTTCAGGGATTTTAAATTTCACCTTTTCCTACTGCCAGGGCACTTTTAAGTATAGAATTTTATAATGGAAGCATATTTCTGTTTGGGGGCTAACTGCACTCCATTTAAACACACTTTCAGTCTCTCTCAGTTTAGCAAAAAATTTCCTTTGCAAATAACAGTATAATTAAAGATAGCTAAATGCAGAAGCACCATAAATATACAGGGCACTCACATTACAAAGCTTTTAGAAGAGATGTCTTTGTGTCTAGAAGACACAGTTAGAACACTGGAGCACGTATGTGAGTTCCAGCAAATAGAGATCCAAGCCATGAGGAGTCTCTTAGCACTTAGTTGTCGTGTCCCAAAATTACGCTGAAAGATTTAATAACATTTTGTTTGCTTTTGATTCATGCTCCTTGTGCACAAAGAGTAGCACTAGTGAAATGTGGCAAAGGGGAAGCAGCAGGGCAGAGACAGAAGCCTGGAGGCTGTGGTCCTATTTCTGTGCTTCTGCCTTACGATATACTGATTTTCTAGTAAAAATTCAAGGTTATTATGAGATTCTCTAGTCGGTGTTGGAGCACACAGGATGGTGGAGGTCTTCTCACGCCCACTGACCTGTGTACGTTCACGATAAGCAGCTCCACCACAGGCTTTGCAGTGGTGAGGCATTGGTGGGCTATCACCCCTCCCGAACTTGCCAGGGCAGACCCAGATGTAAGAGGTCAAACAGCCCGCAGACGGTTCAGCAGGAAGGCTGTAATTACTTTACGGACAAGAAAAGGGATAAACCTTCAAGTAAAATCCCAGACAAGGATTTAAAGGCTCGCAACAGACACACGATCAGTTCTTTGGCTGGATGCACCCAGGATTGTCTGCATTTACTTATCAATCTCTTCGGTGGGAGGGATCTCGGAAGCAAGTAAGCCTTCTTGGGGTATCCTTGTTGAATCTCACTCAGTGGGCTTGCTTCCACTGACAGGAATGGAATTGCCTCTGCATACACCATTACTGAATTTGGCTCAGGGAGCTGCAGTGGTGCTACAGCAAAGAAGTTTTGATCCCATATGTGCATTGAAATCGATGGGATGTTTTGCCTGATAACAGGATGCAGGAGTGGCCCATAGTTTTTTTCTGGCTCCTGACTCTGAAGAACAGTGAAGCTTCTCTTTAGTATAAACACCATTTGCATCCAGGCTTGTTGCAGATGTTCCCTGTAAGATACAAAAGGAAAGCTTAGAGCCTGAAGAACACAGATCTGCTACAGAGGCCTCACCTGCCCTGTCCCCTGGGCAGAACTGTGAATGCAAGTCTGTCTCTTGCCTTCTCATTTAATTTTGTATAAAGTCGATCGTCAAAAAAAAAGCAAACAAAACTTTGAATATCCCTGTCTGTGCACGCATGCAGACATTTAAAAGGTACTGGTACTGCACCATTCCAGTAGCTTTTGCCTGCAAAGTGTCACGCTTTTCATTTACCATTTAATTCTTCTAAATGGATACTACTCTTCTTCCCATTATGGATCTCCACTGCTTCTATGAAACATTATTTGCATAAAAGGAACTGAATAATTGATAGAGGATGTGAGCAGGAGCTAACACACAGCTTGGCAGGGGTTTGCTGGTAATCCCAGTGAGTCCAACACACGGCTCACAGCTCATTTAATGGGATGGAAGCTGACAGGGTTTCCTTGTACCGCTGCTGCAGAACTCGGCGCTGCTGCCTGACCTTGTACTTAGCTACTCTGCTTGTTGATCTCGCTGCTCTTTTCCTCCATTAACAGGAAAATTCTTAGAGGATGTGATCCAGTATGCTACAATCTGTGTTCACATACACCATCAAATACTACCGCATTTGAGGTCTGGTGGGCTTATTCTGCTGCTTTTATAAAATAACAAGGAACAAAAATCTTAAATGGATCATATTATTAAAGGCAAAGTCTGGGAACAGCTTTCATTTACAAGTTTGTTTGATCTTGAATTCAAACCTGAGTTTGATCTTGGGGCTAGGTGGGTTTTTTTTTCCCATATTAAGATTTTTTTTGTTGGAAAAAGTCTATTGAGGCTGTAAAACTCATGCTATGCAGATCTTTTTTCTACTGTTCTGTAACGTAAGTCTGAAAGTCCTCTGCATTTTAGATGTCTCCACTTAGTGAGATGACTGTCAGAATGAATATCTATATTTCTGAAAAGAGCAAAAGCCATAGAAGTAATATCTCGTAAATAAAATGTTTGACATTTGTATGAAAAATTATCTAAAAATAAACTCAAATCAAGTAATTTTTCTTTTAGAGCTTCCCACATTTCTAAAGTATATATTTTTTAATGATAAGCAGCAGTATTAGGAGAGCCTGGAAACAGCTGGAACGATTAGTATTTTGTTTGGTGAGGAGCTGTCTCAGCTGCTGTAAGCAAACTGCCATTTTCAGTGTAATCACTTTTGATTCTAAAGCACTTGCTTTGCTTTTAACTTTGTGCAAATCCCTCTTGATATTTCTCTTTTTAAAGCAGATGCATTTCCATATGTCCATAAAAGTTTCCCTGACAATTCAGCACGCTGTTCAGAATTACTTCCCTTATTCCTGTTGGGTGATTTGCGAAATGAGGCTGCTTTGTTTATTAAGTGTACATGTACATAATGTAAAACATAATTAATATCCTCGACCACTGCACAGATGTTTTTGTGCTGAAAGGACACTCAAAGTTTCACTGACTTAATTAACCTTTCTTTTTCTCCCATTTGTAAAGCAATTTATTAAAAACTCCTCCTATTCCTGATAAATACGTTATTCCATTGGTGCAAATGTTACTCTTAAAAACAAATATTTTTCAGTATTTTCTAAAGAGAAATACTTGCGAATAAGAAATATTTTTTTAAAAGAGAAAATCATGAAAACAACTGATTCAGATACTTCTGTTCATTCTGCCATTTTCTCTATTCGAACTGTGCCTGATGTTTTTTGGGGTAAAGGCTTTCTGCAACAAAAAGCTACTGCATGGCATATTTTGTTAATGTCTCGATATTTTATTCCTCAAAATGTTTTACACATGCTTTTTCTCTTCTTACAAAAATATGTAGCAAACAAATATATATCAGTAGCATTTTTAAATTTCAGTTCTTATTCCTTCCCATCAATTTGGCTGAAAACAGGTATTTGCAAACACTGGTAGCCTAATTTCTTATGGCCTTTCATTTTTTATGAAGTGTTTTCAAAAGACTTCAATCAACCTTAATGGTGCATTTTTAGTTAAGGAAACAGAATGGAGAGAAGTCAATTTAAGCTCCCCAATGAACAAGTGTGTACAGAAAAAAAGCCATAAATGGGTTTAGAAAACAGAGCCAGTACAAGCAAAATGCAGCGAGCAGAGCGCTCAGGGAAGCCAAGATATAATGGAAAGAGTAAAATACTGCAGAGCTTTTTAAACTATATACAATTGGAACAATGGACTGGACCCAGACATCTATGTTAAACTGTTAGAAGATAGGTGAAAAGCAAGCTGCAATTCTGTAACTGGGGCTAGAGAATACTAGAATGGAAGGGCTTAAAGCTGAAGCAAATGAATGTGGGGTAGTTTAGCAGCATAGAAATCAAGTCAAAATTGGCATATTTCACTGTTTAATGTACCATGTGAAGAACCATCTCCTGGCTTTCTGTATTAAAGGACTATTAGTACCAGCCTCCTTAATGAAGCTGCTTTTATGCCACCTGTGAAATAATAATACCTTTTTTTGCACACCTATTTTTACCAAAATACTTTAAAAGCATTGGGTGATTAAGTAATGTAGCCTCTGTGAGAATACATTTTATATCTACAAAATATATAAAATAGAAATACACCTGGGAAACTATTACTCAGTGATCGTTTAATTGTCTCCCATTATTTAAACATGGCATTAATAATACATATAACATATTTTTCCAAAGCATCGCAACCTCACTGGTAAAAAGGGTAACTACATAAATATTCAAAACCCAAAGACTGAAATAATTCAGTCCTGCCAAACCAGACTGATGCACGCTCTCGGTTGCCCGGGCCCCGCCACCTCTTTGAAACAAACCACAGTGCGGGGTACCAGCGATTGTTAGCACTTGTATCATGGCGTATCAGTTTATACTTTGCTTTTATGCATGCTTACAGTTGAATGCAATTGTTTTTAATGTCTGCCTTACAATATGATTCAATCCCTTTGGGTAGCTTAATGCAAAGATTTCGTAATGTACACAGGGATGAGCAGCACTAAGGCAGTGAACATAGTACTCATTATTCTTTTAACGGGAATGTCAACAAGAAGAGGAATTAAAGAGGAAATCGTTGTAACTCCAAAAGAACATCTGACTAACCACTACAGATGACATGTTTTTTCCCTTTTTATCCTCTTCATGAGCCATAAAGCAGGATTTTTCCAAAACAATTAATTTGGTTGCCAAACCCTTCTTAATTCTAAGGAGATTTAAAACTCATCTACTTGGGGTCTGTCTCACGGAGCTAGACTCACAACCGGATTACAAGCTATTCCATCATATGGCTGATGTTAGCCCAGTTGCTGCTATGTGGTACATAATTGGACTGTTTAAAAAGAAAAAAAAAAGGAAGACATATAAACCTTCAAGTCTTCTTTACCCTAAGCCCACTGGCACCTCTGCAGTTTATTCTTCGTGTTACTTTCTCCTCAAAATAAAATCTCAGCAGCCTGAAAGTTTCCAAAAACTTCTTCCAAGTAACCTCTATATACAGTCCCTAAAATAGACATTAAGGCTCTAAACTGAACAAGCCAATTGACAGCAATGGGCATTCCAATCCTACAGCAAAACTGAGGTTTACATTAGTAAAATGGCTTTTCTTTGCAGTGGGTGTTGGAGGGCATATGGCAAACGTCCACTTAACAAGAATCTTGATTTGCAACACAAACTAAGTCCCATGTTAATTCTTTTAATTATTGTATGTGTTTGTGCGCACGTAAGTATGTGCTGTTTTGTCTCTTTAGAGAGAATCAGTGGTCCTAAAAAAGCCGAGGCAATCTTAAATCCAGATTCACCCCTTTGTAACATCACTGGCTCAGAGCTGGGGTCATGGTGATGTTTCCTTTCTCTCTGCCGGTGGTGCACAATGTTCTGTACTTGATCACTGGAAGCCAAGATAGGGCCAACACTTAATGTTTATGCTGAGAGCTGCGGTCTAGGGCCTCTGTTGATCCAGGCCAGGGCACAACACAACCACCATCTGCCCTTTGTGCAAGTTGCCTTTATGTGGGAACTGCAGAGGCCACGGAAGATGGAAGAATGTCCCAAAGTCTTGCCCTGAGATGGCACTAGCAGTGTGCATGGGTCAGCTGGTTCAGAGATACTGCTGAAGTCCTTGGATTAAGATTTCACCCTACAGTGTCCTCGTACACTTCATGTTCCTTCGATGTATTTCTTTTATTTAATGTGCTGTAGGCATAGAATTGTTATTAAGCTTGTAAGCATAATCTGTAGAAGCCCCAAAACTACAGCTGCATGCCCACCACACTGCAAAATTAACAGAAACTGATTGTCTCTAACAGAAAAACAAAGGTCTTAGGGAAATGCATTAATGGAAAGGTGTTTCTTCCATGAACTTTAAAAATGTTATGTAATATGCTAGTATCCATTAGAGATGCTGCTTTAATTTTTTTTTTATGCCATCAAAATACACTCTTGGTGTGTTATTTTGTAATTGCCACATGCATGGTCCCACTCAGATCCCACAGCGTTCATCTGATCATATGCATGTGTGAGAACAAAAGTTTCAGATAATGTATTCCTTTCTTCTGCAGAGACCAACAACAGGGGTGTCTGCTGGCATCATTTCTTCTGTTCTTTATCAGTCCCTTCACTCATCCTGTCCCTTCCTACCTTTATAACCCAGTTTGTGACTGGACATTATATTGACTGCACTGGATTCATTCTCTTTTTGTTTTTTTTTTGTTTGTTTGTTTGGTTGGTTTTTGGTTTTTTTTTGTTTTGTTTTGTTTTGTTGTTTTTTGTTTGGGTTTTTTTTGTTTTTTTTTTTTTTTTTTTGGTGTGTTAGCCTTTTATGACTGTTATTCCCAGGTTAAACATAAACTGAGTTCACAACAACACAAACAAGAGCAAACTGAAATGATTCTAGACCTTACTGCCCAATATGCATCAACACTGGTAAAATACATGGTGCAACCCAGGGTTTGGAAGAAATAATGAATGAGCTACAGAAAATGGAGTAGAAATGGTGTTTGAAATGTGGCTTGGACTGATTAATAGAAGACCAAATGTAATACAGCCTGGAGAGAGTATCTGCCTGGGAAAAGTCTATCCGTTTTACAAACAGAAGGGATGAAATACTGTAAGTCAAAGGGATGCCGATGCACATGAGGACCAATCATTCAAATTCTTACAAAGCAGCCCCATTTTTACTTTGGGTTGAATCATTTAATTTAACCATCTAAAATTCAGTGTTCCAGGAAATAAACCACTTAAAGCTAAACATCTAAATTCAGATAAACTCTTCTAAACTATTTTCTTCAAAACCAAAATGAAATGGCATCAGCTTTTCACCTTTGGATTTCAGGTTTCCAGTCCAAGTTTATCCTGTCTAGTAAATGCCACCCTTGTCCCAGGAGAGGAGTTGTCCCACAGTGCTCCTACCAAACGCTGATCCTCTTCAGAGAGGGAAGCTGAAGTGTGAGTTTATGATGAATTCCAGCCTCAGAATCCAAGGTGAAATTTCTCCTCCCCATCTCTGCCAAGCAGCTTTGGCTCTCCCTCTGCTGCTCTGCTCAGCTGAGTGCGGGATCTGGTTTGCCCTGCCACAGAACAGCAAAGGGAATTCCTACTACCATTTCTCATCCTCGTTCTCTCCAGGGCTCAGAGAGAATGCTCCTTCTTCACTTCCTTTTTGTGCAGTTCGTGCCAACTTTACCAACGTTAAATAACAATACCCCTTCCTATCTCTGGTTTGTTCAGCAAATTACATCGTCTAGAACCAAACAAACCACAGCATTTCCTGAAGCAGAAATTGTTTTTAAAAAATTCAGGCTGGCCAGCTGTTTGGAGTCTACCAGCTGGGCAAGCTGCCTTCAGAACCCACCCCTGACGCTCCTGCACGGTCTCTGCGTTGCTCACCACTCTACCCACCCATCTGCGCTGTGCGTTGCCAGCTCTCCAGCTGGCCTCATCTGTACCCGGGGTACCAGAGCAACAAGGGTTTGGACTGACAGTCTCAGTAACTGCAAGTGTCACTTCTGCTACAAGTCCCTCTGCAGTGACAGCATTGCTTCTCTTGCTAGCCTGCTCCCTCAGGTCAGTATTTCACCCCCATTGGCCTTTCGGCTCCGTTTTAGAAAACAACAGAGAGGTATTAATGCAGTCCCATAGAGTTACTAGTGAATACAAAAATAATAAACATTTATATACATCATTATGTACATAAATGTGTTCCAGTTAGGAGTTACATATTTGAAGTACATGAAAATGGAAGAAAAGTTAATTGTATAATACAGAAACTAAGTCAGAAAACTCCCACTGGTCTTATTGTGACAAGAATCTGTCCCTAAATGTATTTTCACTAAAGCTGTTTTAAAACAAGCAGGTTAGGACCCAACTTTGTCATCATTAGTTGAGTAGTACTGTGCTCCAAGGAAGCCCCACTGAAACGAATGGGATTTCTGCTAAAGACATTATCCACCATGACTCTCGGCACGGGGGTGAGGTTCTGAGAGCAGCGAGTGTGGTTCTTCTGTATTTTTCTTTTGTGTAGTTCCATAGGTGAATGATCTAGCTGGACTTGCTTTCTGACACCACACTGGGAAAGGCTTCTTATTGGGGTCATCACAATTTGCAAATGACTTCTAAAATTCCTGGCTCAGAAGCAGCCTGTTTCCTTTACAAATTCCTCTTAATTTCAGTGGACGTATTTGCTCCACAGCCTGCACAAATCAACAAGACATTGGTTTTCTTTTCAGAGATCTAGGTAGCTTATGTACTGGATTGAGGAGATCAAGTATCAGGCTGTCACTGTAACTGTAATTTCTCTTTCAGTCAATTGTTATACAGTTAAAAGAAAAATTTTAAATCTTTAATATGGAAATAATTGTTTTAGGTTCTTGTTTTCACATATGACCTGGTTTATGCAGCGCTGATTGTATCTGAGTGGAGAGATCTTACACTAACTTTCTGTTAATTAGCATTATAATTGAACATTTACATTTAGAGCCTTTCTCATTTAAAAAAAAAAAAAAATCTTTCAAAGAAAAAAGGTGCCTTATGCAAAGAAAACAGTAAAATGAGATTGACATTGATACTTCCTTGGGAAAACCGCTCTAAGGCAAAGCTTGCATCACTTCTGTGCGCACAGCACAGCCTCTCCACCTTAGTCTTCACGACAGCGAGCAGAGGGCTGGGGGCTGCTCAGGGGAAGGTCAGCCCAAGGGCACGGTCCCTCGGTCCCTCTGCACGCCAGCGGGAGCTGGGCCAAGGGCAGCGGCCGGGCCGCGGCGCGCTCCCCGCCGGCACCCGGAGATGCATCAGGGCGGCTCCCCCGGGGCTGGGGGAAGCAAGGGGTGCCCGGCACTGGGCTTGGCTTAGCAAGGGGTGCCCGGCACTGGGCTTAGCAAGGGGTGCCCGGCACTGGGCTTCCCCAGGGCCTGGGGCTGGCCCAGGTGCAGCGAGGGGGAAACGCAGACACAGGCGTGGAGCTGAGCACAGCCCGGCAGCGGCCCCAGCGCGTGGCCCGGCCCTCAACCCCTCCGCCAGCCCCCCTGGGCTGCTGTTGGGGTTTTTTAAGGAAAGAGTCTGTCTTGCACATGCATCGCATCAAAAAGCACTGATGTTCTAGCAAGGAACTTAATTCAGTACGTTCATCTTACTTCCCAATTACTTCTTATTCATAACTAAGACAATAAGCACCAGCAAGAGTTACGGTATTACACAAATGCCATGCAGACGAGCACTTGCACCGGGTGAAACCTCGTCACTTAAATCAGTATGTAAGCGTGTTTAAAAACTCAGCTGCTCCTTTCTAGGCACCACAGCGTATTCTGACAAACCAAAACAGCTACAAGAGCTCTGAAAGCTCGTCGTACTCCTCTCTTTGCAAAGAAAGCTACAAAAGTGAGACCACTTCAGCATGTCAGGAAATCTCTGAATCACATACTGAAGCCTTTCCATGCTTACCAGAAAGTTCTTGAAAAAGTATCACTCATGGGCCGTGCATTCTGCATAGGGGTAGGGTTATAATTAGACATGGATAATTATTTCCCAATTTCCCCATTTTCATTCGTTCCATTTTTATGTTTTTTTTTTTTTTTTTTTAGCTTGCTTGTATTTTCTGCTCTTTTGTTACTATACAGTCTCACTAAGATTCTTCATCAGATTAAGCTTTAAGAGAAAACACATGCACAGCATAGCGCAGAGTTTCTCCACGGTGCAGAGAAACAACATGAAATCTGCAGGGGCAGAGAGCCATCCTAAACTACCCTGTACTTACGCTGGCATTCAGGCCCTGTCAGTCTTCTTCAGGGGCAGTAATAACGTTATAATGGGACTGGGAGACAAAACTGTCAAATTCTTTCCAAGACAATCTTCCAGGCTCATCAGCATAGACAATCATTCCTTTCACTTCTGGAGTAATAGGAAGATTTTAAGCAATATCTTTTGATTTGAGTTGGACTTGAAAAATGACATAGCTGGGGGCCTTATTTGAAATGCAACGAGACTGAAATGTAAAGCGCAATTTCCCATGCAGTCTGCGGAGAGAATGAGGCACTTGTCCCAGTTCTCTTAATTGTCTCTGATTGCTGTTTGTGTAGCACAGTCACTTCCTCATCTTCGAAATCACCTTCAAGGGCTCCAACATTTTTCACTTCACTGTTTTAAATCAAGAAGGGCTAAACACCCACCCATTCAACCATTATGGCTCTTTTATGTTATTTATGTGGTTTATGCTATTAGGCTTTAAAATTTTGTTTATTTAATTGGCCTTAACAAGTACTTAAGTAACAGGTTTGAAGACACATCAGTGGGACTTGGCACATGTTGATTAAGGTATGCTTAACCTGACAGTTAATATTTTGTACCATTTTCCCAGCAGCCGTTACTGTTATGGAATAAGTGCTAATTTTCCAAAAATGGTTAGAGCTTGATTATTATGTTGTTTCTTTATTCACATGGCTTCATTATTTTGTTGGCGCCGCTCTGTGAGAGATGAAGTAGCGCTATTATTTCTACTCCCAACTCCTTTCAGTCTCTCACAATCATTTAGGCGCATGTGTGACATTACTCAGATAAACAATTCTGTTTGCCTTCAGTGAGACTGGGCAGATGAATACACCCCGTAAAACAAGCTGCTCACCTTCAGGAGTGACCACAGTATTTTCTGGTGTATACCTGGGGAGGTGAACAAGAAACAGTAAAAATCACAGTCGTGTGTCCCACCAAATATTCTTTGTTTAAGTAAATAGCTTTCATTGAAAAGAGAAGTTCTGCCAGCTGGAAGCCCTAGAGCATCTCTTGGGTTTTGGGTAGCCCGAAGCAGCCAGGTAGCTAAAGGAGGGAGAGGTAAGGTACTGGAAATTTCCAACAAAGGTTGCAGGTGTGTTGAAGCCAGAGAGGCCACTTTGGCCTCTAAAATGAGAAAGTCTGTTTTGGTCTGTGGCTGGAATATTAGAAGCTGGTACTCCCAAGTTATCTGACACAGCAGAAGTCCAACTTAGCTTTTTACATCAAATTATTCATGAAAGTCAGCAGGAGCTGGAGTTAAACTATTCATTCTGTGCATATGTATGTGAAAGGAACTCTCGGAAGAGATCATCAAGGTCCTGTCAACAAAACAAGTGGAAACATTCTAAGAATGGGAGGAAACATTTATAATTGAAACCACCAACCGCGTATTTGGATTAGTTAATTCTACCAGAATAAAGATGCCACCTTTCCTTAGATGAGTGGGTAGCACAGAGGAGCGCAGAGGAGGGTGTGAGGGCTGGAAGAAATGTGACTATCACCCCAGTGTATTCCGCCAGCCTGCTTTTAAACATGACACCACTGGACCTCTGTGGCCCCGATGCTCAAGACATCCTGACCTGACCAGAGAGCACCCAGCTACACGTGCCACCTCTCTCCTTCATTTCTTCCCTAGTTGTTAAGATAATACTGCTTGTCATGACACTGCTCTCAGCTTCTCTTGGAGATGCACCTAAACCAACGCCTTCTACAACCACATCTGCATCCAGAGGGATTCCAACACCGTGTATTGAGGAGCCTCTGATCCCCTAACAGCACAGCTGCAAATGAACGGTAGGACTGTAGCCAGAAGCTGTCTCTCCTTTGCCTTTCTTCACTGAAGAAAGCAAAAGTTGAAATGCTGATTGAATGTCGTCTTATTGTTCCATGGATTTTTGTTGTTGTTATTCACATTATCACAACAATTCTGTCCCGTCATGGATCTGAATGTGCTGCACATGGTTCCTGCCCCCAGGAGCTAACAACAACAGGGCGAGAGACCACTGATGGGCAGAGCCCAACAGACCACAGGGAAGGAAACAATCAAATAAGCCAGGTTAGCATGTGTCTGAGGGGACTCAGAACACCTGCACTTTCATCTGAGAGAAAATAGGACTCCGGTAATGTTAAAGACGGTGCCAGTTTCAGACCATTCAAGCTAACTTTGTTTTTTCCCCACAAAAAGGAAGTTAACATCACATAAAATGTGAATTTTCTTTAAAGCCCCTAGTCTAGAAACAGGGAAAGGTAATAAAGGATGTTTTTAAAATGAAAGCTTTTGCTTTAAATCTAGCATTCAAAAGGAAAAGTATTAACTGTTTTTCATTCTTTAATAACATGTTAAATGGTTTCTTAGCAGTACTTGTGACAATGGGAATAAGTCAGGGTTAACTTGGCAGAAACCCCAAACCACACTTAGCTGTTCCCTACTGTAACAGTGAACAAAGGTTTTATTAACATCTTACCCCTTGTCGGGCCCAAGAGTCCCTCTTTTCAACACAACAGGAGCTTTGAGTCTTCAATTTGCAGCTCTGTGGAGGGGATTTATGCCTTCAGATTCAGAATGTTTTTCAGCATTTGTTTACATTTATTTCCAAATGTCCCCATCAAAAGTTATCTATGAGAAGCAGAGACATTTAAAACAAAAAAAAAGTATTTTTAAAACGTATCCAATACAAGCACAAAATCAACACATGAAAAGCCTTCTGAACTTCCAAACTGAGCTGCACATAAAAGATGGGACGGAGGAGGGGCTGTAGGTCATGAAGTCCGCAGTCTGTAATAGCGGCAGAGGAAAATCAGAGCAAAAAACCCTTCATTGAGAAAATCTTGCTCCCCAGGTGCCTACTGGTTCAGGTACCTCTGCAAATCACAGCTGTCACGCTACGAGGAGGAGAAAAGGGGTCACACTGCTTGCTAAGACAACCAAGTAGAGTCGCATCCATCACCCTGCCACGCCGGCGGGCCTCGTGGGCGAAACTGCCCCCGCGGCGGGGCACAGCCTCTGCTGCCCCCAGCTCTCAGTGGAAGTCCCTGCCGACAGCTCTGCGCTCATCTAGTCTGAAAGGGGCATTGGAAACAAAGAGACAGAGGTTTTGGTCAAAGGGATGTAGCAGACTTCATAGGAGGTCTGAAAGGACTCAGGCTTTAACAAAATACAGCCAGCAACTGGCTCCTGTGCCTATTCTCCAGAAACCCCCCCTTGACTGGGATCAGACAGAAACAGCCTGGAGCGACTCAGTAGGATCCTGTGAAAAGGTGAAGGCAGAGGCTGCACAGTGTGGTTAAATATATCCTACTCAGCTCTAAGAGAGACTACTAATAAATCAGTGTGCACCCATAGCGTGCTCATCTCTCACACAGGCTGTCCTTGCCCCCAACACCCTGCATCGACCCCATCCCAGTCCAAAACAAAAGTGATTCATTCACTGACTCTGGAAGACCCACCACACGGCCAATCCTTGCTCCTTGTTGGATTTATGATGAGGCACTTTTGGAAGGACAAACTGCTGCCACCTGGCAAAAGATATTTCAAGACCAAGCATGTAATAATCACTTGTGAAGAGAAACCTACAGCTTGCAGTCCTTCACAGTCAGGTGGTGATCACATCCCAGGCATTTGGCTTCCCCTTGGCTGGGAGGGACAAGCATCTCACGCCCAGACCTTCCCCACAAGCACAATACCCTCTACTTGATGTAAACCCAGAGGCTGTCCTTCCTAATATGTCAAGGTTTCCTAATCCACTTTAGTATCCAAATATGTCAGCATTTCCTGATGCATTTTATGCTCAACTTCAAGGGCACAAGAGTATGTTATGTGAAGTGTGTTCCCTTCCTTTGTGGAAACAGCCAGCGTTGCAATAATCCGTTGGTTCCCACTCTGGAGAAATGCACCTCTGTGGCTTCAGGGCACTGCAGAGAAGCATCCCCCTGTGCTTCTTGTGTCCTTTCTAGCGGAAAAGCTCGAGGCAAAAGGATTGGTGTGCTTTTTTAAATAGGAATCTGAAAAACATTGACTTTGCATTGAGGTGTAGCAACGTTAATTTGTTTTTCAAAGCAACCAGCAATTTCTCAGCTTCTTCACCAGGATCTCTGTTTCCAGTTTGTGTGCCAGCTGCTGTAAAAATAGCGAATAAAAGGGGCTGCTCTCCTACCTCGAGAGGGCACCATGGGACAGTTGAAAAAAAGGAGTGGAAGCAAACAAGCTTTACCTCGAGCACCAACTATTCCTGTCATGAGGATGTTCAATTACAGTAATTAGCAATAATGACATAAGCAACAGGAGCTTCCCTTACCTCCCTTCACCCCTCTGAAGAATGCACTCTGCTTCATTAAAACCTCCGCTTCCTCCTCAATCCCAGTGACCTGTTCATGGGTGCTTCCTTCTGAGACCTGAGGACCTGGATTGACCGTCATGGCTTCCCAGCGCTGCTGCCAAGATGCCGGGTCAACGTGTTAACCACAAAAGGAAACACATACTATCATGAATCATCTGAGTTCAAAATGGAAATTTTAAAAAGGGAAAAAAAGTCTTAAATGTTAACAGGACCTATTAAACAAACCAGAGCCTATCGTTAGTATGACTACCGCTACATTTTCTGTAGCAGCTCTGACCTACTTACAAGAGATGAGCTCTGTCTATGAAGCAGGATTTGGGGGTTTTTTAATAATTATGTTTTCCCTCCTACCACCTGGCATCCGACCAACTTAGCCTGACAGTACCTAACTTGAAGGGAAAAGATGAAGTTGGTGGATTTACTGAAGGTCAGATGAAACCATATTTGTTTAAAGAAAACAATTTTCTACCTTTTTAGCCTGGAAGCATCTCAATCCAGTAACTTAAACACAAGGCCATTCTTCTACCCTCCAAATTGTCGCGTTCCAGCGGGGAGGCACAGGGCACTGCCCTTGCAGGGCATGCAGGCAGCAAGGCAGCCCCAGGCAAGGCACTGGGCTATGTCCAGCCACGCAAAGAATGGAAATAAGGGGTTAATATCTGCAGCCTAGATCTCCATGAACCCAAAGAGATTCACACTACCATGCTATGAGGACCCTATGCCCTGACCTGCTCCAACGGTGAAGTTAGGAATGAGTAGATTAATTGTAAATATCCTAAATTAATTTTAGCAACATTTCTACTTCCTTTCTTTGCTACATCCACTTTATAATGTTGTTACTCTGGTTGAACACCTCCTTGACAAATCTAATATTTGGTGCTATTGATAAGTTTTCAGCATAAAACCTGAAGGAAAACAAAGAATTTTCAAACCAAAGAAGTACATTTCAAAAGTAAACTATGTTCATTTGTTAAAAATTACCCAGTGAGTTTGGGTAAATAAAAGTAGCTAGAGTTTTGAATTGTTTTGTTCAGCTTGGAGAAGAGAAGGCTCTGGGGAGACCTTCGAGCAGCCTCCCAGGGCTTAAAGGGGGGACAGGAGAGTTGGGGAGGGACTCTTGATCAGGGGGTGTGGGGTAACAGTTTTAAACTGAAAGAGGGGAGATTTAGTTCAGATCTAGGGCAGAAATTCTCCCCTGTGTGGGGGGTGAGGCGCTGGCCCAGGGTGCCCAGAGCAGCTGTGGCTGCCCCCTCCCTGGAAGGGTTCAAGGCCAGGTTGGACGGGGCTGGGAGCCCCCTGGGCTGGGGGAAGGGGGCCCTGCCCGGGGCAGGGGGCTGGGACTAGACAGGCTTTAAAGTCCCTTCCAACCCAAACCATTCCATGATTCTATGAATGTGCTAAAATTTCTCAGTGTGGATGAAAGAGCGGGCCTGGGTACTCCTGACCAATTCCAAATGGGTTGGAAATACAGGCTGCCTCCAACACAAACATATTCATTATTGACTCCCCAGAAACCAGGATTATGCTCCCAATGTCCTTAATGCACTGTCTGAGCCATCCATTATAGACTGGAAAGTCTGGACTCAAAGTAGGGCCCAAAGTAACAAATCTTCACAGTTGGCTATAAATCTGTATCATGAATTGATGACTATCCAATGAGAATGGCAAAAGTAAAGAAACACACCAAGAGCTCTGTCAGACTGCTCCATGAAGCTCTTGGTCCTTTCTACCCCCAAAATAATAGGCAACATGATAAAGGCAAAGAAAAAATTTGAGATACTCAGGACATTTGGCAATGTGATGGTGATTCCGGCTGGTGACATTTCACAGCCAGCATTTAGCTGTATTTTGTATACTCAGGGAAACAACGTGGACACTCTACTTCCTCATCATAGGTGAGCTGAGGGCAGAGGCGGTGAGGTCTTGTTGTTGGAAAGAACAACCTTGGAGAAAAAACATAGTATTGAGAGGAAACTATGAATTTCAGTTATATAAATACACAGAAAATAAGTGGTTTATTCATAACCAAGAATTCCTGTCATTAAAAAAGAAATGCTATAAATACAAAATTTTAGGACTCAGATTACAACATGGAGAATTAAATACCTGCAGTTCCTCTCTCTGTATAAACTTACAAAGCTAATTATTGTATGGATTGCTTTTGTCCTCATTTCAGATTTGTCAGCCTCCAGAGCTCAGGATAATAACTTGGTCTTATAAATGTGAGGGTTATGAGTTAAAAAATTAGGTAACTAATGATGTGTGGATTTTGTGGGAACCTAAGATACTTAAATCTCCATCCCTCCAACTCTTTCCCAAATGGTTCTTTGTATAAAGACTTACACAAAGAGCAGTCTCATGAAGTTCAACGAAGCGATTTGCGAAGTCTTGTACCCAGAGATGAATAACCCCGAGTGCCAGTGCAGGCTGAGGCCAACTGGTTGGAAAGCAGCTTTGCAAGAAAGGCCCTGGGGGTCCTGGTGGACAACAAGCTGACCATGAGCCAGCAAGGTGACCTTGCAGCAAAGCAAGCTGACAGCCTCCAGGGATGAATTAAGAAGAGCATCTCCAACAGGCCAAGGGAGGTGATCCTTCTCCTCTCTTCAGTACTGGTGAGGCCACATCTGCAGCACTGGATCCAGTCCTGGTCTCTCCTGTACAAAAGAGACATGGACATACTGGAATGAGTCCAGCAAAAGGCCACAATGATGGTTAAGGGACTGGAGAATTGGTCATATGAGGAGAGATTGAAGGAGCCAGGCTGTTGAACCTGGAGAAGCTCAGGAGAATCTTATCAATGTGTATAAACACATGATGTGAAGGAGAAAGAAGATGGAGCCAGACTCTTCTCAGTGGTGCCCAGGGAAAGGACAAGAGGCAACGGACATGCATTGGCATACAGGAAACTCCATTTAGACATTACAAGTTTTTACTGGGAGGAAGGTTAAACACTGAAACAGGTTGCCCAGAGAGGCTGTGGGGTCTCCTTTCTTGGATATTCAAAACCAAACTGGATGCAGCCCTGAGCAACTTGCTGTAGCTGACCCAAATTTGAGCAGAGCTTGGACTAGACAACCTCTAAAGGTCATAGAATCATAGAATGGTTTGGGTTGGAAGGAACCTTTAAAGGCCATCTAGTCCAACCCCCCTGCAATGAGCAGGGACATCTTCAACTAGCTCAGGTTGCTCAGAGCCCCATCCAGCCTGGCCTTGAACATTTCCAATGATGGGGCATCTACAACCTCTCTGGGCAACCTCTTCCAGTGTTTCACCACCCTCATCATAAAAAATTTCAGTTTAAAACCGTTACCCCTTGTCCTATCATTACAACCCCTGATAAAGAGCCCCTCCCTCCCCCATCTTTTTTCCTGTCCCCCCTTTAAGCCCTGGGAGGACACTCGAAGGTCTCCCCGGAGCCTTCTCTTCTCCAGGCTGAACACTCCCAACTCTCTCAGCCTGCCCTCACAAGGAAGGTGCTCCAGCCCCTTGATCATCTTCATGGCCTCCTCTGGACCCGCTCAAGTACGTCCATGTTTTTCTTGTGTTTGGGGCCCCAGAGGTGGACACAGCACTGCAGGGGTCTCATGAGAGAAGAGTAGAGGGTCCCTTCCAACCTCCACACTTCTTTGATTCTGTGACTGCCTAGCCAGTTTTTTTTTTTTTCCAAGTTATTGATGTGTTTTGCAACAGGAAGAGCAACAAGCTGTATCAACAAACTCTTGCCACTGGAAAAGCTGAATTAATTGCTAGAATCACACCAGCAGCTGGAATAAATGTGAGTTTCTGTTCAAAGGCCTGCCAATGTAAACATTATTGTTGCAGAATCTGAGCACTAGCCGTGGGCTATATTCCAGATTTCTTAATGTGCCTCAAGAATACAGACATCATTAGCCACAGCATTAGCACCCTGATAAGAGCTGCATGCAAGATAGCAAGGGGAGGGGCTGGCTGAAATGGTGATTGAGCCTGTGCCGCACGCTCTGCTGCACCGAAGGGGCTATGGATGCTTTAGCCTGGCCAGAAAATCATCCTGTGACAAACACGTGCCAGATACAGGAAAGAGCTACGAAGATGGTTACAGAGCACCCACCAGAGAGGCCTGGGAGAGCAACTTTCTTGTACTCCGGGGAAAACTGTCAGCAATCCCCAGATCCTCCTGCCCACTTCAAGTCTTCCACCCAGCCCCTGGACAAGAAGCATTTAATGAACGTTCAGTTAAACAGAAATATTGTGCTGCTCCAAAACTGTTGGTGGAAGGAGAGTAATGGCCAGGCACCAGGGCAGGAAGAGGTGAGGGATAGGCAAGCCTGAACTCTGCTGGGAAGGGGTGGGCTGGCAGCCCTGTGTGTATTTACTGTGGCGGGACAGGACGAAGGGGGCAGCTGAGTCCCGTTAACGCAAGGGGCAGGGAGGCCTGTGGAACGGGGCACGGCCACGCCGCCCTGTGCCATTCCCCAGCAGCATTCAAGCCCGCAGGCTGGCACGGGACAGTGTCCCAGCCTGAACGCTGCCTTCGGCCGAGCCTCGGGGTGGGACCAGCCAAACCTCCGCATGCCTGCACAGCGGGAATGGAGAGAGAAGGGTCCTTCCCTTCCATTTCCTGGTGGAATGATGAGCGGCTTGGCTGAGATAAGGGAGATTTCATTACAGACCTTGCCTATTTGGCAGAGGGCTTTTTTAAGCTTCGGTTCCTGGACATTTAAGCTTTCGTTTTTTTCAGAAAAAGCCATGTAAATATAATTCCTAAAGACACAAAGCTGAGAAGCAATAGTCCTCCCACCTCAAAATCATTCAGCCTAGTTTTTAAGTCCATCACAGAAGTTAGGGGAGAAGGTCTGCCTAATTATTTACTGAGCATTTGCAGATGAAAATATTATTCTAAAGTACATCAAGTGTGTTCCAAAGATCAATTTTAGACCTAATAGTGTGATCTGTTACATCCATCACAGGAAGATATTTTATTGGGATTATGGTTGTAGGTTTTACAGATTTAATTGCAATGCTTGTCTGCCCCCTTCTATATAGATGACATGAAATTAAACAAACTGGAGCTAGATACTAAGGAATGATTTATTTTGAAACGTGATTGCACATTTTTAATCAAGTTTGACATAGTTATTTAAGTAGACCTGTTCAGGAACGAAATTAATCTTTAGGCTGGCTTTATTTTTAATTTTGCAATTTACTATGTATCTAAATGTTGAACTATAATTTATTTCTAACCATGGTTAGAATGGTTTTGTTATATATTCAATAAATCAACATCTGAGAAAGGACATCTTCTGTATTTTGTTACTGCTCAAGCAATTTTCACTTGGAACCATGCTATTATTTACTCTTTGCTTTCTTGTCTAGTTCTGCACATCAGATGTCTATAATTGCCATCCTTCAAATTGCAAATACAGCCTGTTTATTTCACATCCAAAACATAAGCACAAGAACAAGAATAGAGGTTGACTAAGACAATTGTTCACTAGAACAATCCCCCAAGATCCAAACCTAGTGAAGTTTTTAAGTATATATTTAATTTAAAACATGTTAGTATTTCCATTGCCTTTGAAAGAATATATTTTATGTTAAGGCTTCTGTAGAAATTCTCATACTTCAATTATGCACAGGCTGAAGAACTCCACTGGATAGAAGTCTGAGCACCTTGCAAGCTGAGCAGACCTACTACAGTAAATGCAGCCCTCTTTGTCTTTCAGAAACTAAATTCCTTTATTGTTTTTATACTGTAATAGACTCAAACTTCAATTTAAGTTTTAAAATGGATAATAGAAATATGACATACGTATTAAGTGAAATTTCAGATACAAGGTTTTCTAATTTGCCAAAATAGCTCCACTGGAAGTGGCTCATTCTTAGCAAATTACCTGTGACAAGTCGGGATTTCACTGTTAAGCCTCTCAAATACTCCAACTTCTGTTCAGAGCAGTATCTAAAAACTCATCATGCCCAGTCCTTGATGATGAACAAGAATTCAATTCAAACTGAAAAGAGGCAGTGCTGGGAGAGGTTCTGACATTCAGAAAGGGTAGGAGGATAAAAGAGAAAGGAAAATGACAGACTCAGTCTGCACCATTACTAAAATGAGATCGTTTCTTTTGTTCTCCTGAACCTTCTGCTCTATTTGCCAGGAATCATATTAGCAACAGAAACTGTGAGAATCTGTCCAACCTTATTAGAGAAGCTGGACGCAAAGAAATTATTAAAAACTTTTTTAAATGTACTTGCACATAAAAAGAAAAAGGCAGAGTTTTAGTATTCTGCAATGTTAGATCAAAACCCACGTCAGAAAAACTGAACATCAAACTAGGAAAGCTTAATTAACAGTATTGCAGTGTGCTGAGCACCAGCACAGAACAGTACTTCACCAGTTGTGTCTATATATATGTTTTATTACTTAGGACAGACCTGGATAGGTTTAAACAGAGGCATGCTCCCGAGCTCTTCTCAAGAGCAACCAGTTCACCCAAGATGTTCCTCTACTGCCCAAGCATACTGTTCAATACTGCCACCCAAAAGAGCTCTGAAGGGCCAGCTCCGCTCCTGGGAAGCATTTTGATGGCTGGCAGTGAATCTCTCCTCCACGTGGGAGATTCAGCAGCAGACCTCAAAGTTCATAATGCTGCAGGAGCAGGTGATGATTCTGGTGTATGCCAAGATGCCATAGCTGAATGCAATATTGTTGGAATTTCGCATGAGAATCTTCATACTGAGACATTCCCTCACTGGTCTGTTTTTTTGAAGACATCAGTGGAAGCAACAGGTAAGGACTAATTAATACTTTAAGTCAAGCACACAGGGCTAATGCTTGTCCTTGGGTGATGGGATCAGGCTCTCTCTCTAGCCAGATTTTACTAGAATAGCAAATAATGACTCTTCCATAGCCTTGTCTGTAGCCTCACGGTTAGGACATCTTTCACTGAGTGACCCAGTGAGCTGGACTCTTTCAGACTAAGAAGGTCCTTGGCCTCCTTCTTCTTGGGGTGGAGAGCCACTAGCCTTCTTCACAAAAGGCAGGTCCTAGCACCATACCACTGCCTTTCAGTCCTTCTTAAGCCAGGTACCAGCCCTGCCAGGGGCATCACTGCTCCGAGTGGATCGAGGCACTTTATGCACAACCACAGACCAGACGCACTGAGACAGCAGCTCAGACCTGCTCCCGGAGCAATGCTTCCTAACGGCTAACGCCCGCAGTGCTCCACTGAGCGAGCACCGAACTGTCCTCCAGAGACACCTACTTAGCTCTGTTTCCAATCTTGCACAAAGCCCAAATGCCTCGCTTAGACCTTTCAATTAATTTTTGGGGTCAAGAATAACTTTTTAAGTTGTTGCAATGTTGGATGCTGGATGGCAGCGATCTGAATTTAGTCTTTAACAGCTAGTGTGTATGAGTATGACCATTCTTCATCGAGTGAAGTGCTCAAAGACATAGGATATGCTGCCTTGCATGTAGATGATACAAACTTTAATACTGCTGTGGCAGCTACAAATTGTCCTTAAGGTCTAGCAGTAAAAGGTTGTGTGTCAGTGGAGTGGAGTGTCTTGCACACGATGTCTCTATTTATAACCACGTCTCTGTGGCCGCAGACTGTTGCACCCTGTCAAACTAAAGATGCAGAATATCCCACAGTCAATGCTGGATTGTCACTTAGGATTCTAGTAGTACACAAATTTGCAATTTGTAATTCTTTCTTTGTCCCTTTCTCCTCAGATCAGTGATAGATTCTCAAAGCACAGCAACTGAAAGAGACTTCCAAGGCAAGTGAGTCTTTCCCAAAACATAAAATATTTAACTGGATTGCTTCCATAATCAAGATGTTTTCAACATTAAATACAAGGAGGAAAAAGAAGGAAAACTGCTTTGTTAAACAACAAAAATTATTCAGATCACAGCTCCTGATTTTAAGAATATCTTACACAAACTAAAAGGAAATTTGCAAACTCGGACTGTTTTATCCTTCACTGGCAGCAATACTGGAAGAATACGGTTCTCATAAAATCCAAACCATATTATACACAAAACTAAACTGATTAGAAATACTTTTATATTGCTTTAATGTCATAATAGCTAGGTATCAATTCTGAAATGATTTGAAGTGTATGCTTAGCTGCCATACAGGAAGGGTAGCTGAACGGGAGTTGATACTTCAGTTAATAGAACGCATGACATGGATGACTGTTGCCCTTGGACTCTTAATTGTACCTCAGAACTGTCATCAGAAGCCTTTGCTGTCAGGAAAACATAGCTACCTTTCACATGTAGGAACGGGGTACTTTTTTGTAAAGTTTATTTTAGAGGGATAAAGTAATCCAAAAATAATCAAGCTCCCTAGTACGTCATGTTTTTCTGCCAGCCTAAGGCCATATTGTCGAAAGGCATTACTTCCAAGGGAGCCATAGAAAAGTAGCCATGAACAGCATACACCCAGCATAAGCAGCTTTCCACCAAGCGACATAGATAAATGTAAGATGGTTTTCCTATGGAATGCAGAACAAAAAGACTGAGTAAAATGAGGAGTCAGATTTCACTCTGATATCTTCTGTTTGTGAACGCCAGCCTACAGATCTCAATATACCAATAATTACTAACTTTGGGCATCAGGAAAAGGAGAGTAACTTCTGTGATCTGATTTGAAAGTAACCTTTTTTTTTTTTTTACCTAGCACTAATTCTGTAAACGAATCATTTCCTACAAGCTCTGTCTTCCTTAATGGTCAGTAAATGCAATAAAGCATCTAATTCTCCTACTCTTATCGTTGTATTTAAAGATGCATTCCAAAACAAAAATCACTTTTTTGGTTTATCTTTAAAGAGAAGAAAAGTCACTAAGAAAAATATTTGCTACTGCATGCATCATTCTAAACAAAGTAAACATTAAAAATATGGAAATATGCAAAATTATTATTTGGGGAGTCAGGACTAATAGCCCTTTCATAAACCAAAAAGAAGCAAGACAAAAACCAAGTCCCAAGTCAGCAAATAGTTTATGTGTTTCTTAATTTTAAGCAGATAAGGAGTCCTATTAATTTCAGTGGGACAGTTCTCTTAGAGAAAATAAATTAGTATGCTCCCGTCTCCAGTAAATAGATTGGAGTTTGCACTGACAGAAATTCTGATTTATTCTTTGGAGCAAGGGAGAAATCGTAGGAAATGGGGACAGGTAAGAAGCTTTCTCTGAGTTTAGAAACGCAAGCAGCAGAGCTTGCAAAGAAATAAATCTCATGTCTGCTTCCCCTCTGCAATTGCTATTTAAGATTTACATATTCCAGAATAGAATCATAATCTTTACAAAATCATAATGGAATTGGTGAACTGGTACAGGACAAAACTTGTGAACAAAAAGTAAGTACCTACTACAGACCTTTAATGAACTGTAGAGAGATGCGCTTTATGTTGGACTATCTATGAGACATACAAATACATCATTTTAATAGGATTGTAACAGATACATTTGAAGGACAGGGTGAATAAATCTTAAGTCAAGGATCCTGAAAAAATGGACAGTTTGTTTGAGATACTCATATTTGTCTTCCAATAGGCTGGACTTTAGCATTTGTACCACTGAGTCTCATTTAAAAGAAATTCAGTAAAGGTAAATGAGAATTTTTCTTTGATAGCATTTCCAACATTTTACACTGTGATACCCCAATCTAACAGCCTTTTTATTATCTCTGAAGAATAAAGATTAACAGACCTACAAAAAGGTTCTGATGCTTCTTATAAGAATTGATTAGAGTAATTCTTTTAGTCTATCTAAAATTGTAAGCATATGCCTGTGTGTTAAATTTTATTAGGGATTCAGATCAAAATGGAAATAACTAATAATTTACATAGTGATTGTTTTAACAGATAATAAGGTAGACATATGCATGCCCTGGTAGTCTAATGAATAGCAAATTATACATTTTAGTACTATTAGATATAAATTATGTTAAGCATGCTCTATTAAACAGTCAGCATTTAATGGGTGTAGTTTGAAGTGACAAGTACTATTGCAGTATTTGGTTGTATGTTTCAATTTGCCAGTGAATGCTCAAGTTTATTTAACCTAAAAGAAAAGTGAGAATGCACTTTCCCCTACCCGAGGCTAGAACCAGTGTTCTCACCTTGAACTAGTTATACATAGACACACCACTAACATTCAAAATTAAAGAAACTTTTAAGAGTATTTTTGAATCATGGCAGAATGATGTGGATTATTTGCGCTACGTGTTTTAATACTAGAATGTTGTGCATTGAACGTTAAATGTAATAAAGAAGCAGACTGATTCGCTTGATGTTGCACTTTTGTTCATGTGTGATTATGAAAGTGACTTTTAAAAAGTGATGAAAAAACCAGCCTCTGGTATTTCCATGCCAGCTTTGACAGAGAGAGAGAAAACTTGAGGGAACCAAAGCCATCTGGGTAACAAATTCATCAACCAAAGAGGGACCAGCCTTCAAAAGCTGCGCCGCTGGGAAGGGGGACATGGATCGATGCAGCGAGGGGCCCCAGGGCACCAGGCCCGGCTCAGGGCTGGCGATGGCGGCCGCAGGGAGCCCCTGCCTGCCTTGCCACAGCTCCTCTGCAGACCCTTTTCTCCCCTTTTTCTTCACTTCGGGAAGCTACTGGCAGGCCACAGCTAGAAAGACGCCTCACACCTAATTTTACACCAGGAGGAAGACGGTTATGTGTGGAAAGCGGAGCTGGGACAACTGCCGGGGGAAGCGCTGGCAGCCGGGACGGCGGGTGGCCGCGGGTCTCGGGGCGGCAGCCTGCCTGAGGGCAAGCCCCGCCGCAGGGTCGCGGGAACCCGATCAGCCCTTCGCCGCCACTCGCAGCTTTTGCGGGGACCCCTCCGCGAAGACGCCCGGAGAAGTCCCTCGCTGTCACCCCGCCGGCCAGGGCCGCTTCCCGCAGGCAGCGCCGAACCCCGCAGCACCCCGCCTCCCCCGGCCGCCTCAGGCGGGCAAAATGGCGGCGCTGGCCGAGGGGAGGGAAGAAGGGGCGGGGAGGGGAGGGGGCCGCGGCGGCGAGGCTGGGCCTCACCGCCAGCGGTAGCCACCGTCTCCACCCTTCTCCTCCCTGCCGACCTCAGCAGCAGCGGCGGAGGGGGCGCCGCTGGCGGGGAGGAGCGCCTGACCGCGGCCTGCGCCCTTCACACCCAGGCGGGAGGAGAGCGCTCCGCCATCCTCCCGCCGCAAGCTCAGCCCCGTTCCCCGTCTTCCCGCCCCGCAAAGCCCCTGACCTGCTCCGAGTCCGGGCCAGAGGTAGGTGCCCGCCTCGCAGAGGCTCTTTCCCGCAGCTGCCGCTCGCCGCAGGGGTGCAGGCACCCACCTGCCCGCTGCCCCCCGGGGTTCGGCAGCAGCCGGGGCGCCGCGGGGCCCTTCGCTGGAGCAGGCAGCGGCGCCAGGGCCTCCCCGCGGCGGTGCGGGGCGGCCGGGGGCGGCAGCCCGTCCCGCCCGGCTCTGCTTAACCCCCGTTGCCCTCTCCTGGGTTTGCCGTGCTTCGGCGGGCCCGCTGGCAGCCCGGCTTCCCTTCCCCTTCGGCGCTGAAAACAGCAGAGGCTGTATTTTTGGTGGCTTGGTTGGTTATTTTAATACCCATTCCTGCATCAGATCGGAGGGAGCCGTGGCTGGATTGGAAGTGTGGTTGGCTCCGTTGGGAGCCCGTCTGCTCAGGAGCCTCAGGAAGGTCTGCAGCCCTTCCCAAAAATGGCCCCGGGGTGCTCTTCCCATCATGGATGGAGCACGTTGGCCTAAAGCGCTTTGTCCCCTGTCTCACGGGGGGATGGCATCGATGGGGTTGAGGAGAGGCGCCCAGCCTGCTCTGTCAGGTTCCTGGGTTGGAAGCCGGCCTGCAGCACAGCTGAATCTTTAACCATGGAGAGGAGGTGCAGGTGGCCGGGCACAGGATTTGCCTGGAGAGCGGCTGCTCGCAGCTCGCCCTGCACCTTCCACACTGGCGTTCCTTCTTTCTGTGCTAGCAGGTGGTTTATAACTGTTGCTTAGTCTCGCATGAAAAGACCTGGAAGACCACTGAGGTAAGTATTTTTAAGCCTTGTGTGCTTCAGCGGCTTAGATGGCTGAGCGCTGTACACGTGTTCTCCTGTAATCTCTTTGAAGTATACCCAAACTGCGTGGAGCTGATCCACCATCAATGGGCATGAAGGATGATGTTCATTTAGACAGAAATTCAGGCCACCCTGTGAATTTCTGCTTGAATTTGAGCAAGATTTGCTTTGTTTCCTTTTGCAGTGAGGAGATAGAGAGGATATCGCGGGACGGAACTTGTTAAATGAACTTATGGTGTTAAAGTCCTTTTACTATGCTTGTTATGATAATATCTAAGTCACATGGATCCCTGCTGCTGATGACAAACTGTTGTGGTGCGGACTGTTTGGGTAACCAGGCAAGTTGTCAAAGTCAGGCCAGGCCTGTATGTTAGGAATGTATATTGAAGCCAGGTCCTGTAAACACTCATTAATATGTGGAGGCTTGTTGCTAGGGCTTTGCACAGAAATAACGAGACAGGCATGAGTGCCTCTTTGAAGTCCTAATGTGCTACCTGACTATTTGGAAGCCAGGAGGACAGTTGAGGGTATCCTTCCCATAGATCGTGAGCTTCAGTCTTGGGATTTTCATTTATAAATATCACATCTTTTTATGGCTTGTTTTGGAGTATAGCCAAGTAGAACTATATTGTTTATGTGTGTAGATTTTTGTGTCTTACACAAAGATGTCTATTGTTTACATAGAAACTGTAAGAGGAATGTTTTGTTAACATTTTGTGAGCAATATAAACTGACAAACACAAATGCAGAGTAGAACTGGAAACAAAAATAGCCCTTCTTAGAGCAAAACCCCACAGCTGCCAGAAAACTGTTTTTCAAGAAAAACTATGCACCTATTTGTTCTATGTTTCTTTTAAACTGTTTTTATCATTTATGTACATATAAATCTTCTACTGCATGTAACTTTCACAGCAATGTAGTTTCATGCCTATGTAGCCCTCTAAATGGTGTTTCTTTTTATAAACAAGATTGACTGAATTGTGATTTATTTTTTTTAATTACATTTGAAATTTGTTTTTAGTTGGGTGTGTCCCTGTTACATTTTCAAATTCCTGAGCTGACTGCAATGAATTCCCTTCTCCATTGTCAACATGTGTCTTTTCCATTAAGACTCACTACTGCCTTTTCCTTCCCTTAAGAAACTTTCATTGGATTGAAAGAATATGACCAAAAAACCTCTGTTTTCAGTATTCCATGTTCAGTATTCTATGTGTAATAGTAATTCCACAGCCTACATGGAGAGTAGCTACAGAGCATGTGGGGTTCTGCTTTTCACTGTGGAGTGTATTGACCTAATGATCCCTGAACACAAATTTCCAGTCATTGATAATGCATATGAATGAACTTTCATCTTTCTCATTTGCATTGTTATTTCTTCTCAGAAGCACCTAAAAGCATTTGCTATTTTAGAAAGAAGGGTTCACAGTAGTTTGGAAACTTAACGGCAGCCAAGTGTTTAATTTTTAATATATCAGCAATGATGGCTAATAAGTATTCATCAGATAATACAGGTCCAGTAGAAGAAAGTCAGAATTTCAGTACTTCCACTTCTCCTAATGCATACCAACATCTCTTTTTTTTTTTTTTTTTTTTTAGAATTATTATTAATGAAGTGCTTTAGCACTGCATTTTTGTGCTGTTTTTTCACTCTGTTTCTTAGCTTGAGTATTCATGAATTCTTTTGCTGAATAGCATAGTTACCATCTTACATTCATTATTTCTACATTGCCTGATCCTCTCTAAATGAGTATTCATATCTGATTTCTATTTGATGATTCACTGTAAATGTTCACAGGTAACTTTTTTTTTCCTTTTTTCAGCTTTCTCCACTGACATATAGAAGAACATAAGCTGAATCTGCTACAACTCACAAATATTGTGTTTATTTTTTTATTTTATATGTTTTAGGAAGTAGAGAGTGAACTGTTTATTTTATGTCTTGTGTAGTGCTTAGTACAGTGTGATCCTGTTCTGCAACTAGGATGTGTAGGGAGGACAGTAAAAATGCTGATGTGGAAAACAATTTTTAATACTTCTAGTATATTTTTTTTACAGTTAGTTTATTTCATAAGACTTTGATTTTTACAGGGTCCTTGGTGTGACTGTATCCTTGCACTTATTTGGCTATCCACTGAAATCACTGACTCTTCTGTTTGTATATGGAGATACTTAATAAGATTAATTGAAATTAGAGGTCTGTGGCAAGATGTAATTAGAATCAGACTGGATGGAAAAAAAAAATCAGTTTTAGGAAGGTTGTTCTGGTATAGAAATGAGTTGGTTTTATGAGGTCCCAAGATCAGGTTGTATGTTTTACTTGTTGCCTAAACCTTCAGATTAAAGAATATGTTCACATTTTAAAATAGTCTTTTTCTGTTTTAGGTGTTTGCTTAGTGGTTGTATTCTAGCAGATTCTGTGGGTGCTTTGGGATGATGTCTACTAACACTAACATGTCAGAATTCCACTACAACTTGATAAAAGAAAATAGGACGAAAGAATTCCCTGGTTAAGTTCTGAGTTCTAGATTCAGTAACGTTTCCTTCTTTTTCTTTCTGTTCTCTTACAGGAAAAATGATACTCATCCAGCATTCCTGAGTGATAAGAATGGGTCCAGATGTACCTCTGCTGAATGATTACAAACAGGAGTTCTTCTTGAAGCGCTTTCCACAGACTGTGCTGGGAGGGCCCCGGCTTAAATTAGGCTATTGTGCCCCTCCTTACATATATGTGAATCAGATTATTCTTTTCTTGACGCCATGGGTTTTGGGAGGAGTAGGAACACTTATGTACCAGTTAGGCATTATGAAAGACTACTATACCGCAGCACTTTCAGGAGGACTGATGTTTGTCACTGCGCTCATTCTTCAGATGACAAATCTATATGCAAAGCAGAAAACAGTGACAGTAGAAAGAATGCAAATTCAGAATACTCTAACAGATGAAGATGAGTTTGAATTTTCCAGCTGTGTAGGTTCAGAGACAGTAAAATTTATTATTCCTGGCAAGAAGTATATAATCAACACTGTATTTCATTCCCTTCTGGCAGGGGTATTGTGTGGGTTGGGAACTTTGTATTTGCTGCCAAACAGAATAAGCTTGCTATATAGCAACATTGGGGGAACTGTTATGATCTTTGTATTTGGATGGGTGACTATATGTATAGGAGAGTATTCGTTAATCGTAAATACAGCTACCGAAACAGCTACTTTCCAAGCACTGGATACCTACGAAATCACTGCTCTAATGAGACCTTTCTATATTTTTGTCTTTATTGCAGTGGATCTTGCACACAGGTAAACCTAATACAGCATTTGGCTAATTAAAGTAATGCTTGTGCTATATATTTTTTATGAAATAGATGAAATTACTCTTCTGAGAAAAATTTATTTTGAGACTTTAATCGTAGCAACTCCAAAGAAAGAAGCTAGAAGAGTGTATGGTAGAAATTGAGGCTTTACACTGTGCATGGAAGTTTGTTCTTAAATTTTTATAGCATTCCATATAAATTAGAAAGAGTGGTTAGAGCAGTTCCTAAGTAAGGGACAGCTAAAATTATCTTCTACCATGTTAATTTCAGTATTTTCGTACAAGAGCATTTGCATCAACATCCTTTTAAAGGATTTCTTTTGAAAACCCATGTTCCTGACCTGGAATCATAAATCTAAACACTGCAGACTTCAGGAGTATTGGATTTATATCCTCATTTCATCCTGGAATATTTTCTAATTTTTAGTCTTTGCAAAGTGATTGCAGAGGGTTTTAAACTACAGGCAAAGAAGGAGTATGAATTTGGTTTTAATGAATGGATAAGCAAATGTGAACGTTGCTATATATTTGTTGAACTTGGATTCTTAAATGCTTTTGTAACGCAAAGAACTGTGTCTACAACTAGGAGACTTCTATGTTTCCACTTTTCAGATGAGTGTCTTGGCTAAAGTATTTGTAGAATGTCTTAAAGCAAGATGCTTTTAAATTTACTGTATGCATTCTTTCTTCCTCTTGGGTGATATTTATATCTTTGTCACATGTACATTTTTTATGGTTGGGGTACTTCAAATGCATTTGAAAAAAAACCATGCATATTTGATTTTACTAGTTTTGTACTTGGAGATGTCTTTGTTAATGATTTACCTTAGTTACCTCTTCGGTTTTGATATGAGAAGTATACACATGGTTTTGGATCCCAAATTCTTCTATCTAATTTCCTGAGGAGAAAATTCAGACATTCTTTAAATTCCTGACAAAATTCCTTTGAGGATTACTTATTTATTAAGAATTAGAGAGAAACCAAATATCTTAGCAGTCTACCTTTAACTTAATTAGTTAGCTGGTGAACTACATATGACTTAGAATTTATGCAAATTTCCAATACTGATCTTTGTGTTTTTACAGGCAGATTTTAATACTTCTATGTAGCAAATAACATTTTATATTCCTAAAGAGAGTTTATGTCTTGGTGTACAGGCAACATGCCAGTTCTTTCAGTGTTAAGACATCTTGGGTCTTAGACTTTTTTAAAGTTTTTCTTTTGTAATTCTGAAAAAATATAGTTAGCATTTTTTTGTTAAATGGTTGACATCTTAGAGCCTGTGGACCTTTCTTTTCGCACAAGTATTTCATAAGTGTATTATCACAACAGTATCAAAACAATTAGGATACTTACATCACTTGACTCATTTGTATAATCTGAAGGCTTTGCATATTTTGAATGAAAAATTAGCCTGTGTTCTGATGTTCTGATCAGTGTATTACTGCCCCAAGCATAAATGTATACCCTTATTTTTCTTTTAACAGGTACTAGTTGAGGTTTTGTAGATTGAATATGTAATGTTTATACTTCTGGATTTGCTGTAGTAGTTAAAAAAAAATAGTCTTCCTACACATCAGTTATCTTTTCCTTCACAGAAGTCAAATACGTTTCTTCTTTTATCCAGGTTTGCTG